CTGGGGCAGACATAACTGAGGCCTGTGTTTCATTCTGATCAGCACCTTGGAGTCATAATATCACCTCCACCGATGCGGATGACTCATGTAGCGCTCAAGTGCAACTACCTTGTAAGTGACGCAGATTTCCCTATGCTAGCATGTATGCGAGCTATTTCTCAACCGTATTTGTTTTGCAGATTCGAGCTCCTGGCTTTCACGTCAGAACTTGCATCCTTCTCAAGTAGTGATTGGTTCGAGGAACAGTTCCACGGAGAATTTCACCATTCATCCTGTCAGCTCAACTTCCAACTCTGGTTTTCTCATGACCGAAACGGTTTCATCCCTCTCCGGAGAATACATCTTGATGGGCTCCCCAAGTCTCAAGGTCAATGTTGAGTCAAGTCACGACAACCCCGCGTGCAATTGCGCTGCGACTGCGACTGCATCAGCGTCAGCATCAGCATCAGCTTCGGCATCATCATCTTACCCTGGTCAGCTACCTGAATGCCGGCCCATTGGAGTGAACACACCCAGCTCGACTCCATCAGACTCGGATAGCCCCAAGTCTTCTGACTCTTCGAGCTCACCTGATAGTCCCGACACAAACCCAGTAACTCCATCAGACTTAGACAGCCCTAACTCCTCTGGTTATCCCGCCGTAGGTAGCGGTTCGCCGAACATGGGAAACACCAGCTCACCTGACAGTCCCGGAACAAACACGGAAACGCCAGACCCAAATAGCACCAACTCCGCGGATTACCCTGCTGTAGGTAGTGGGTCACCGGACATGAACAACACCAGCTCACCAGGCAGTCCTGCCACAAACGCAGAAACGCCATCAGACTCTAACATCCCCGGATCTTCTGGTTATCCTGGCTCACCGGACACGAACACCACAAGCTCACCTGGCAGTCCTACAACTAACCAATCGTCACCCATCGAAGACTGTGAAAAGAATTCAACTGACTCTACCCCAGTTGTCACCAGCGGAGATGGAAATGTACCACCTTCATCTTTCAGTCCATCTGACTCACCAACAGACACGAACAACGCTGATTCCGGAAACCCTACCCCAACGGATGTTGATTCTCCCTCAAACTACACCCAGTATGACGACCAAACTCCTGATTCTCAACCAAAAGGCAACACTACCCCGCTTCCTGATGCTGGGAACGTTCAACCAACCAGCTCGAGCTCCACCCCTTCAGACACTTCTGATTTGAATTCACCTCCAGTTTCCAGTGGAAATGATGATCAAATGTCCACTCCCCAAGTCACCAGTCCGACTGAACCAACCCAGCCGAGCACGTCTAACTGCACTGAATCTGAAGGTAACCAATCCCGCGACAAATCCACATGATTTTACCACTTTGGTCCCTGGCACCGATCAAAACACGCCAAAAGATTCCAATTCCGATCTTCCAGTCCCTGATCAACAGTCTCCTCAAATATCTAGTGGAAGTGATAACCAAGATCAACTCACCCCGACCCCAGATGAGTCTAACAATACCGGAAATCAATCGCCAACATCATCGGGAGATGAGACGCCCTCTCCTTCATCTTACAGCCCTGAATCACAGTCAGACAACAGTCAAGCTCCTTACGTTGACACACCTCAATCTTCTTCAGGAGACATCTCGCCTGCCTCTGTTCAATCGGGAGCTAACAATTCAGCCAACTCCGGCGCGCAAAGCCAATCAGGTTACCCTGACGTTCCCGCATCGAATGGGCAGCCTGACTTCAATCAAACCGGAGCCGCTCCCTGCAATGAAACTTCATCCGATTCAATCAATTCCACACAGACTACTTCCGGGCAGTCACCAAGTCCATTGACTACGAACACTACTGATCCGGATGACACACCCCTCAACTCGGATAACACGCTCGTTCCGAGTGATGACCAGACCACCACTGACAGTTTCCCCCCAAATCCGACTAATTTGAGTGACATTATGACGGAGGTCCCTAGCGATTCGTACAATCCTTCGAACAGCTCTTCATCAACCGCAACATCATACTTGAACTCTACTGATGGCTACAGCAATGATAACACGACCACTCCGGGAACTGACAACTGCACTGAGTCTTCCATTCCGGACAACTCAACTTATGCATCTAACACCATAACCAATTCCTCAACTGGCTTAAATCAGTCTTACGGAACCAGCAACTCGACATCGCCTGATACGAGCTCATCTGACACAAATAGCTCCCAGACGTCCACGGACTCGTATGGAAATTCTAACCCTACAAACCCAACAGACTCTACTGGATCCCAATACACATCTGACTCATACGTTCCTAACAACACGAGTGACTCCTACAACAGTTCCGTACAGAATCCTACCCAATCCCAAGGATCAGCCCCAGGAGCCAAATGTACAGAATGCGAAGAAGGAAACCATGGAACCATTTCCGTGACCAATTCAAGTTCTTCTTCTCAATCAAATTCTTCATCTAGCAGTCAAACCAACATGACTTTAATCAATTCAAACTCATCTGAACCTTGTGAAAACTCTACATTACCAAACACCACATCTACCACCAAACCTACCTCTGTTCATGGTTCTGATGATATTTTAAGTGTCGATGTTCCATCTCCATTCGCAAATGATACTAGTACTTTCCCTACCGACGCTCCTACTCCAGGTCATGAATGTAAAGAATGTGAGAAGGGTGCTTCGTATCCTATGATCAGTAACACCACGATTTCCAACGCTACAGCCCAGGCTTCAGCCAATGCTTCATCGAGCGTCTCTAGCTCAAACTCACCTTATGGATCTCAATCAGGTGCTAACAGTCACTCGACAAGCAATTCAGCTACTCCAGATCAAGCACAAACCGGATTACCTACGAATGCAAATGCCACATCTAACGCTTTCAGTGGTTCCAATTCCAATGTACCCGGTTCAACCATGAAAACTAGCACAAGTAGCTCATCTGCTTCCTCTGCTTCATCATCTACGACCTCTACTACTGTCGTTCAACCCTTGAGCCGATCCCAAAAGAGGCGTAGTATAACTCTCAATTGATGATTTGTATTCCACGGTTTTTTTTGAAAGATGATTTTTTTTTTGTACTTTGTCTGTCTCTCTCTCTCTCTCGTTCTGTTTTGATTTGAAAAATTGTTTCCGCTCATATCAAAAATATCACGTTTCTTGGACATTTGTTATCATGCTTGGTAAAGAAAAAAAATCGCATTACACTCATTTTCTTTCATCACTCGCTGCACTGTTATGTCATGTTTTCTTTATGTTTTCAGATATAGAAAAAATTGGAATAAATGAAATCATGTTTTTGTCTCAACCTGACCTGCCTATGAGAGTCGAAAAGTGAGAAGCAGTTTTCTAAGCCTCTTGCTTTGGATATATCATCATATGTTGCCGTAAACACTGAGTCACCCTGCTTGATGATCCTGAGGTGAAGAAAGCTGTTTTACTGGACGATTTTTGGTGATTCATGTCACTGGGCGTCGCCCAGTGACATGAATGCGTGAAATGCATCAAAGTCATTATGGTAAGAGATGACGTCATGATTGATTCACGAGTAAGCTCAGAGCATCATAGCGTCATTGACACCCTTTGAACCACTTTATGTGCGGCCAGTTGAGCAACAGGCAGTTGAACACCCCTTTCAACAAATGCCGATTTGCGTGTGCAAGGTTGGAAGAGACAGAAGACTTTGGTGGAGTCAACTGTCAAGTTCTCATCTTGACATAGGGCTGCATGGGTGCTACACTTCCTGTGTATGTAGAAACGCTCAATCTTCAAAGATAAAAAAGGTATGAATTTCTGTTCACGAATTCCATGTTGAAGCGTATCTTTAATTCAAAGAACAAGAGAAGAAACAACAACGAGAAGAAGAAACCGGAAAAGAAATCAAATGAGAATCGAAAAGATGATGATGATGATGATGAAAAAAAAAATGATTTGAGATCAATATACATGTAAGTTTTCCAAAAAAAAAGAGAATATAAAAGCATCAACGAAAATAGGAGGAGAGAAAGGGTATATAAGCATTACGAGAGTTAGTAAGGGGATCATGTATGGTATAAAACTTCGTAATAGACTTTGTGAGATCGGTGAAATGGGTGGGTATAACTACGACTTGGGAATCATGTATGGTCGTAAAGGGGTTCGTGATCAGCGTGGAAGGACATGTTGCGAGGCGGGCCTCAATTATGCTTCAACGGCAGGTGCAGCTGCAGGAACAATTTCAGCTGTGGTGTTGTTTGGTGTAGGAGCGGCAACTTCGGGTGTGACCGACTCGGGTTCAACAGCGGTAGCTACTGGCTCAGCCTCAGCACGAGGAGCACGGCTGAAGCGTTTTGAGGCTCGGTCCTTTTGCTGCGAGAGAGTGTTACCGACACCATGCTGTGAGGCAAATAAAGGATGATGTCAATCTTCAGGTCCGTGGCACACAATTTCAGCGGAGTTACTTACCACACCGGTGTTGACGTTGGAGCGTAGGTTGTTGGTGACATTCTTGATAAGAGTGACGGTACGTCTAAGCGCGGAACAAAAGTAAAGAAGAGGGTTAGGTTTTGTAGCATGACGTCATAGGTGCACAGCATCGGGTAATCAGGCGAAAGCTTACTTAAGACTCTTGTTGATGAATTGACCAACTGGGAACTGTTTCTGACCTGGGGTAGCATTGGTGCTAGGACTGTTTTAAGGATCATGAAATAAATGAAAAATGACCAATTCTAATTAGATTAATTGATACAGACTACAACATGTGATTCGCAGATGGTGTGAAATGCTACATAAAACTAGACTGAAAAAAGTGGTTTACGTGGTGGCAGTTGCCTCAGTAGCAGAGGCACCAGCAGCAGGGGCTGCATCGACGGAAGCAGCAGTCGCAGGAGCAGCAGAGCTCTCAGCGACTGGCTCAGCAGCGGTGGCTTCAGTAGCAGCTGGGGCAGTAGGGTTAACTCCTTTGCTTGTGACCTCGCCGGATTTTCGGCCGGCGATCGCATCACCGGTACCATCCTAAAGAGTGACGGATAAATAAGTATCGTAATGATCATGATCTAGATAATGACAAACTTACTAAGGCAGCGTTGATGTTTCCTCGGAGCTGTTCACCAGCGGTGTTAATGACCTTAAAGAGGCCTCTGAAGATGAGACAAGGTCGTCGATAAGCATTTGTGTGATGAGGCAGTGCAATTCACAGATAACGTATTTTGACTTACTTGACCTTTCCTCCAACGGTTTTGCCAACATTGTCGAACTTGTTAGGAGTAGAAGTGGTTTCGACCGTCTCGGGAGCGTTGACAGGAGCAGGAGCAGCGGTGGCAGCTTCGGTTGAAGACATCTTTGAAATGAAAAAGGATTTCTTGGTTGAGGATGGATAGAACCAAGATTTGGAAGGAAACGAAGTAAGCTTCGATGTATATAAGAGGATAAAGTAATAGAGGTTAGGTTGGAAGAGTTTTAATAGGACTAATAAATGATTTTGAAAATATAGAGAGATTTGAGTACTGAATGAGGAAGGAATGAGAAGAATCGACGAGAATCGATAGGATTAAATATCAACTCAACCTGAACTTACATTGGCTTTGATGACTCAGATGGGCTAAGACTCTATTGTAATTTTTTTTTCCTTGTTGTTGTAGACCGTCGTGTGAATAAATTGACTAAAGTGTAGGTTGTGATCACTGAGTGAGTAGAGGCAATTGACAACCGAATTGAGATTCGCTACCACAAGGGCAATGGATACCAGCTAGAGCTTTATGAGGGTGGTGACGTACACTTTAAACTTCAACTTTTCTCACCTTCACTGATCACATGTTACCACACATGCATGATGTACCCCTGAAGAATATCAATCCGCAGTCTTGAGTTTCCTGAAATTGCTTCAGGGTTTCATCATCTTTGGCCAGTTGATGTTACACATGTGATTCTTTCCACACAAAAAAGATCTCAAGCACCCTGAGGATCTGTAATCCAAGACACACTCCAAGTTGATTTTACGCAGAAATTGCAGTCACCAACGCCTTGCTGGCTAGCCCAGTCTCATTTCTCAGCAAAAATTGTATGCTGCTTTTGTTATACTCACCTGGCAGACAACGCGTTCATAGTAGAGTTGATACCCTTGCGCCCTAGCTTCAAGCTTCTTCCTGTTCTTTGCCTTGCCAGCCAGCTTTCCTGCCATTGACGTCTTTCGAAGCTATGTATCTGACTTCTTGCTGGTACATACGCAATCTTTGTTCAGCTTTTGTCGCGCGGTGTGGGAATTGCCTTGGTTCGATATCATGTCCATGATGTTGTAGCAAATTTGTCAGAGCTGGGATGTGAGTTATTCAGAATTCTAACCTCGAATCTAACCTCGATCCCACAAATCGAAATTCTCACCTTCATCCGAGAACGTTAAAAGAAGAACTAATCTTAACTAAATCCCACGCTGTCGCTCGCGACCCGAACCTCAGCGAGGGACTTACCTTGCATGCAGACAAAGACCAGGAAGAAGAGTTTGGCTGGGGATATCCTTGCAAGACCTCTCTAGCATTTGTTTACTGAGGAATCCTGCCAGACCCATAATGAACATTGCGCGCGGTAGTCTTGGGCATGTACACCATTTTCCGGGAGGAATTTGCATCCTTCTTGCCCAAAAAGCTCCCCAGAGATTGGCTCTCATCTCAGCAGCAGAGCAGCTAGCAAATGCAACTTTTCTCTTGAGCCTTAGAAGAGTAGTTGAAACCCAGTTTTTGAGGGACTTTTTTGTAAGCAGAAATCAACTTCCTTGGGGAAAAGATAGTGTAAATTGTGTGCAAGACCACCACACACAATGTTCATCATGAACAAAAGGGACAGAAGGCTTGCAAGGATATCCCCAGTCAAACTCTTGTTCCTGGTCTTTGTCTGCATGCAACTTTGGTGTAATTCCCTTTCTGGGGCTTGGGTTGCAATCAACATTTGCTATAAAGGTGACTTTGACAAACATGTCATGATAATAAAATTACACAAATGTAAAGGATCAATGATTGTGAAACATAAATAACATCTACACCTTTACTTTAACACATGAAAGCTACCAGACCTCTGCTTGAATCAAATAATAATTTCAAAGCCATAGCTACTTTGGAACTTGGCTGATCCTAATAGATTCAAGTCAGATTTACATCTATTTGTCTTCATTTGTCTCATAATTTGTGATCAAATCAATTTTTCAAACAAATTTCAAGTATAGAAAACAAGTTTAGAATTTCTTCAAAGCCAAGCAATGTTTAACTTTAAATTTAAACTCTTTATTTGCACCCAACCTGTGCCAGAAACATTGCTGTTACGTGTGCTGAGGTTTCTTGGCCCCACCATGCAGCTGAGTTGTAGGTTTTTTGATGTGTTTAAACCCATCACACACCAAGGTTGTCAAAATTTCCCTTTTTTTGAACCACAATGTGATATGGTTTGTGAGCCCTGAAACCGCAGCAGCTGTGGCTGTTACAGCTCTGTCTCAGCACTATGGTTCTTTTTCCACTAAGCCAAAACAGGCAATCATTTCTCTTTTTTCATCATGTTCTACCACCACGTACCATCAACCCATGAAGATCAAATTTTGCAGCTTTGATCCTGCACCACGGTATTATTTGACATTGAAGACAGTAGCCAGCCAGGGATGATAAAGTCTGCATTCAATTGCATAAGTTTCCTTTTGTTCCCATCTGCACTCAATTATATATTTTGTCTGACTATCCATTGTCTGATTATTGATCCTCATACTTCATTTCTTGCTTTACTTGCTCCAAACTATCAATGACCATCAATCCTTCACTCAATTATCTTACTTTTTTCATTACTACACATACTAGAAATTGATTCTAATGCTTTCAAACTCAATTTATCCTGGTTGAAATTATTGCTATCAATTCTTGCCACTCAAACATATTTGTCCATTTGAAGCAGATCACCATGTCATCTCAATCTATACTACCTTATACTTTGCATGCAACCAAAACCAATACCAAATCAAGACATGTTTGTAAAGGAAAGTGTGTTGTCTCATAGTAAGTGCTGACCATTGTACAACTTTGAAACACAAGTGCCAGCCACCAACTCAAGAGAAGGAAAATGAATCTGACACATCATATGTCCTGATGACTTCAACAAACAATTGCAAGGCACCAAGTCAAGAGGAGGATATTTTATCTGACACATTTGTCAGCATTCATACTGGCTAAAAAAGAAAAAGAGAGTGGCACCATTGCCAAAGCCTAATCCCCAAAAGAAAAATGCCTCTACCCCAAAAGAATTGGATGAAGTGAATCTCTAAAGTATGCCTCATAAACTCAATCATCACATTATGCTTCTTTGCTTGTAAAGTTGGCATAGGTCTGATTCTGCCCTCTATTAGTGATGGTTACTCTCAATCTGATATATTCACTGATGTTTTGTTTGAAGCTATCTTCAGCACATATAACATGACCAAGAAGCTCTCAAGGGCTGATTCTGACGTGGGGGTTGTGGATGAGCCACAAAAAAGACAGAAGGTTGATGATCCTGTAAGTGATTTAGCCAAACTTTGGGCTTATCTTGGGCCAACAACACATTGAGTTGGTGATAATTTTGAGGATATATCAAAAGCACCCCGCTCTTACCCCGGTTGGTTCTGCAAGAGAGATCAAGAAGATCTTGTTGGTGTTAGCTACAGCAACATGACACAGAGTCTTTGGACTCACCGTGACAAATACAGTACTGGAGGCCATTCTGATATTGGCTGACTAGGACAGCTCAAAGCATACCCATCAAAGACACTACATATCCCACTATTAGTTGCAGAGCACTGTATGGCTAACAAGAAGAAAGGTACAGCCTTGGATAAGTATATGTCTACTACCTGGCCTACAAAAGTTAACAACCTCACCTTAAACCAGATGGCTTGCACCTGGCCAATCCAGCATGCACTCCTATGGGTTTGAGTTAAGGATCCAATCATACAAGCCATGGTATGATATATTTGACAAGATGCCAGGTTGTATATTTGCAAATGGGCATCAACACAAGTGTCACAAATCAACTGTTCTTTGAAACAAAATGTATTTAAAGAACTAGTAAAAATCACATCACAGTTTAATCTGTCCACAGCATTTGGAACAGCCAAGGCAGCCGTCACAGCTTGATTGGATCTTAAGTACCTTACATTGATCAACAGTGATCCTTATCATGTCCAACATGTCACCAGGACCCTGGAATACACCCATGGAGGGTACTGACGGAGCATGATTTTCAGTTTTTTGCCTCTACACTACGCATCAGTGCCTCTATGAAGCTGCAGAGCACTTCAAAAGATGCGCATGGAGTAGGGCTATCAGATGAGACCAGACAGAGCCCGGCATCATGTCTCACGGCGGCGTAAATCGCGATGGCGCAATTTTTTTTTCGACCTCCAAGGCCAAAAACCGACCCTCGATTTTTGGCCCTTTTTTGGGCGTTACATTGATATATCTTAGGTAATATTGGTGCTACCAGGCTGCGAGCTAGTGCATTTGGAAGCCTTCATTCTGGTGCATCTTTTGTGCTCCTGTAGGTCTTGATAAAGTGCAGTTTAGTATCGAAAAAGTACGTCAACAAAAGGTCGGTTTTTTCGTAAGTACCCTCCGTGGGTGTATTCCAGGGTCCTATGTCACCTTAAAAGTTGTTGCTTGGCACCATCATGGCCCATGGGTGACCAATTAACCCATTGTGAATATCTTGGTGAAGCATGGTATCTTCCAAAATCTAAGTATCAAATTTTCTGTAATTTATCTTTAGGATTTCCTCTTTGGAATTTCTATCATCCAGTATGACATTCTTAACTACATAAGTAGAATAAGATGAGTCAAAAGCATATGGAGATGTTCCTAAACATGACTTTGATGAACTGGAAATGACTACACCTCTTGAAAGTGAAGCTATCATGAATGATTAGGCTGATGTGATGAGTGCTTGGTCAGCGCGTGATTTGTCATTGATTCGTCATGGTTATGTGATCTTGTCAAAATCTTTTAGTCATGTTCTATGCGGAGTTTTTGGTTATGTTCCATAAGCGCTTTCAGTATCCTTTTGATAAAAATGCTGTGACGTCATGAAATGTTTACCGGTTGTTTTCCGTTTTTGGTTTTACTTAAATAGGGACTTGGTTTTCTCTTTTCCTTCTCCCTTTTTACTTATCAAATCTTTTTGTCTCTGTTCTGTTAGCAATACGTAGTAATACATTTTTAATCTTTTCGTTGTTTCTCAAAAAGAGGAAACGTTAGATTGTTGTACTATCTTATCTTTGAAATTCTTTTAGTTAAAGATTTCCTGTCTCAGAACTTAGTTAGTTCCGGATAGAGTATAAGGCTATTCACTACAGCTGAGTGGCATGTTACCAATGCCCAGTATGAAGTCACCTCAGCTGTGCTTTTGGAGAAGAAGTGGCACCAACCCACCACCCCAACAACAATGGGTAAGCAACACAGCAACATGTTACAAATGCTTAGAGCATCCACAATGGTCCACCTACTTTGCAAGCCCTGGAACAGACCCCTGATCCTGATTTTGTGGATGTAGGGGGTCAAAAAAACAGGTGTCCACAGCGGTGCACTTGAAGTCAGTGGCCAGAACTTGATTGAGTGATATGGTATGCTTGTACCATATCATCTTGTTTTGAGTGCGGTTTGAGACGTGACTATATTGGTCACGTGGAAGCAGTGGCAGGTGATATTGGGAGCCCCTATAGACCTGGCAGATGTGGGGGGTCCGGATGGAAATCTGGAGGTCCCCAACGTCTCACCCCCAATTATGCAAGCTCCGTTGGAGCATTTTTTTGCATTTTGACCCCTTACATTGCTGGGGGCCCGCAAAGTAGGTGGACCGTTGTGGATGCTCTTACAATGTTACATTGCTTAAATCCCTCTGGTGCTACAGGTTAGCTTTTGATGGCAAAGCTTATGCAAAAAATGCAAATATGGGCCAGATTGTAGTGTTACTATTTGGAGTAAAATAATGCTACAGCCACACTGAAATGCCACACCACAAAAACCACTAATCCAATATTGACATTTGAAGTGTGAAATTTATATAGAAAAAGAGAGCCAACACATAAAACATTAAATTATGAACAATGAATCATTGAATTAAAATAAGGAAGGGAAAAAATAAGAAAGAACAGTTGAAAATATATATAAAAGATCAAAATATGAACATATGAATAAGTAAAGTGATGCATTGATACACTTGGACATTGATTTAAGATACTCACCAGTCTTTCTCTGGGCCTGGAGTTGTTTGAGTTTTTCAACATTCAAGATCAAGCAGAAAGACACAAGAAAGTGAAGTTTAACAACTTGACACAAAAATTGACAGGAAGGCTTGGATTGTTTTTTTGGTTTTCAAATGTGAGAACCCAACTTCTGTACGATTTTATCAAGAAGCAAGAAGCAGGAAACAAACAGCTACTGCTTCAAACTGTACTTGAAGCTGCAGGCTCATTGGAACCTCAGTTGTAACAAAGTGGCATTCATGAGCTTTCAAATTCTATGAATCTAAACTGTTGCTGTAGATTAAAAATACTGGGCAGGCATGTCAACATTGAAGGATTAGGAGTTGGTAACTTGTTATTAACCAATTGGAATGTGGATTGAATTTGGGTTTGTTACATGTATGAAATACTGACGGGTTGGATATGATTTTATATATCCCAAACACAGCTATGATGTCATTCGAGCTGTTTATCACTTCACCGAATTTAATCCTTCCCATTGTGTTCACTATTGTTGTTTCATCTTTTGATTATCACAGTTATCTTTCGCGACCCACCCACCCTTTGTTCCCATTTATGGTTTTTTCAATTAGGCTTTTGGCGTTGCTTTGTCTCTATTGCAGTAACAATATATTATTATTTTTTCTTTTCTTTCTTTATCAAGTTTATTTCTATTTTTTCTCTTATTATTTAGGTATAATTTTTTTTATTCTTTTTTCCTAGAAGTATTTTTGTGGTTCAAATAGTACATTTTTTACTTCGTTATATTTATCTTTTCCTTATGGCTTGTTACAAAAGTTATGTTTCTTTGGTAGCTTTCATTTTTACAAGTTGTGATCTAAGTCCTATTTTTATCTTTTTCCTCAAGATGTGTTCTAAGTCTAGCGTTGTTGAGTAGCTTTTTCATAAATTTGTTCTTATGTCCGCTAGCCACCCCGTAGGGTGTTCTCTTTATCAAGCAATATTATCACCCTAGGCTCTTGCCCGGGGTTTTGTCCAAATATGTTCTATACTGATTTTCAGTATTGTTCCTACTAAGTTTTGTAAGTTAAATGTATCCACATTTCTATTGCATAGCCCCTCAAGATTTGGAGGGAAAAGATGACAACAAATTCCACGATACTTAGGTGGTAAGTGCACAAACATAACATACGCCTCTTTTGGCCACCTACTGTCTTGGAGACCTGAGTCACTTTGCTTTGAGATGAGGGGATTCTGTATCTGATAAAAATTGATGTATTGTAAAGGAAGCACTTGATTTTCAAAGATTGCCTTTCTCTTGATCAAGATGACAGTTCTCAACAGATAAAAACCTAGCAGGGCTGTCAGTCCCTTTCAATGAGAACATGATTAGATCACAACAATCCTCAGTGTTGTTTGAAAGCTGTAACTTGAAAATAATACTTATTGGAACATGATGTATCATCATAAGATGAAATTCATGATCTAATTAGAATCTTGCTAATAAATGTTTGAACAATTGTACCCAGATATGTATGTTGATGGTGAAAGAATATTTCAAAGCCAATCAAAATAGTGAGAAAGATGGATGAACAAATGACCAATGAAACTCGTGCACACATTTGCAGACATGAGTATTCTTGTTTGGAAGATGAAAGCATCATTTATTTAGCACAAGATCACACTTGAAATAAAACATGAACATAGAGAAGTCGCTTGCAATCTGGGTGAGTAAAACCATTCAATTGAAAGTACCTGCTTATTCATGAGATTGGGCAGGCATAAACTATGTCAAACAGAACCTTTGGCAGATCAAAATTATCACAAGCATGTTGGTTTGTGTTGATATTATGTCTAGAAGAAAATAGTTTTGAAAAAGACTTCAATGCCAAACTGGTCACACAAGCTTGATTCAAGGGGTTCAACACAAGCCCAGTGAAACCTGATTGAGTTGAATTCACAGTGAAAGCTGGCAAAAGATAAGAATTTTATTTACTTATTTGATGCACACTTGGAAAAACATCTTTTCATTAAAATGCTAGACTTTAGACTACAAGCTTTGTGGCCAGGTCCATATCACATGAGCTTTCTCAGAACTGAATATACCATGTCTCACAATTCTAGCAAAAAAAGCACTGCTTGATATTGATAGAAAAACATTCTTTCTCTAGCTTCTTCAACTTTGTACTCTTTGCTTGGGATTTTCACTCCCACTAGTTATTAACAATCCAAAAGTTCCCTTGACAACAACTCAGCAAAATCTTTGAGACTGCGTTGTGTCAAGCTTTTGCGTGCCCGGCTATAAGAATATCTTGGTATCTAAACAGGGAGACCATACCTTGTGCTATGCTCCAAATTACATCTGGCATATTGTGATTGTCATATGGTATGATGGTCTCATACATAATTTAATGATGTACACCAGATCTATGTAGTAAAGAAATGAGTCTATATATTGCTTCATTATCCAAGGAACAATGAAATTCCTCATCAACTTCTGGCTTTGAAATATCAAGATTGGATTGTAGGGTTGTTTGCTTGTTTGATCAGTTCCTCAAAATTCCATCAATTGTGCCCATATGCATTGGGATAGATGAATGCAAAAATCCAAATAGATAGTATTTAAGTGTGCAGAGCTTGGTATGGCAGGGGATGCGTGTGGGGATATGACTGATTGCAGTTGGTTATACTCAGACTCAACATGAGATACACCCTTCCCATTAGCCTTAAAAGATAACCTCGACACGAACGTCAGGTTGATAAAACAAAATGTTTTGGTCTCAGTAAAGATTTGAAAGAAACACGCTTGATTTTGTTGATGACCAGACAAGCAGGAGGAAGAGGAGTCGCATGCAGACATGTTGAGAAGGGCAGACAGTCATTTTGTGTAGGAACCAGACTCAAGTGCAGGGTGATCACTACTGACATTGAACGTGCAAAGGCTCTTCAATCCTTTCGATCAAACTACCTGTCATATCTTTCAAAACATCAGCGCGGCCCTTCTCAGGCTACCCAGATGCCTTTGTAAGACCAAGCGTAGACAAATTGGGGATATCGCTCTACTTCAAGTATATCTTTGATTTCTTATGCGGGGTTGGGATGCGAGTCATATACCATTTGAGGTTCTCCGTTTATGTGTGACTATGAAGAATGATACCTTTCTTGAGTTTCTTGTTCAGATTTTTGATATATGATTGATTCTCGCCAAGGACCTTCAGGCCGTCACATCAGAGGCCTGATTGCCCAAACGCCGAGTCGGCTTCTTTCGTTGACGGAGAGATATGTTTCACAATCTCGTGCGTTGCTGCCGCCTTTACATTTCATTCCAATTCGAACTTCTGAGACTTATCCAAGAAGACGCCATTCGAACGTCGCCGATCCGGACTCGTACAAGTGGGACAAGGTCGATGTATCGGTGCGCTTGAGGACGCAGACCGTATATCCCACGCGAATGGTGGGCGGCCGTCGTGATTCGATCTATTCGACTTCGGATCGATTCTCAGAACTTGCTTTCGGTCTATCCTTTGTTCAAGACTTTTTACTCTCGATTGCAAGATTGACTTTTGATTCGACTGTTTTTCGGACTCTCCTGATAACCGGCTGTTCACCATGCATTCCGCCGAATCCACATCGGGAGAATATACGATCTATCCCGATCATTCATCATTTCGTGATCTCGACTGGATCCGAATTTACGAAATCTCTAGAGCTTGCCTCAATCCTCGTCCCACACTTCCAGATGTGATTGATCCCAGTTGGAATTCATGTAATCCTGCTGAATTATGGAACTTGGTCACAGAGGCAGCCAAAGCGCAAAAATTGAAACCATCGAACCCAGTTCAAATGGAGAAGAATCTGAGACTCGAACTCGAAGAACGACTTGATGATGGGATGAAATTTTCCGAGTTACAACGAAATATAGAATACAATCTCATCGTCAATTTAGAAGTAGTAGACAAGAAAAATCATCTTGTGGTTGAACTCTGTCCACCCAAGTTCGCCAAATCGACTGCTCTAAATCGTACCTATGGGGCCGAGAGGTTTCTAGTGGTGACACTCAGCGATAAAGTACTTCGTGAACTGCAGTCGGAACCTTCGAAAAAGAAACTTCACGGGGGCTTCTTCACTAAGCCGTGGCGGATCGGCAATCGTGTTTACGAGACTTTTTTACGAAAAAACGTAAGATATCTCGGTCCGAAATGAACTACCTTGCATGAATTGGGTTATAAATTCTGAAGCAAACACTACGCAGGCAAAAATATACATGGTTCACATTCGCGATCAATCCGACTCGCCACCTCGCAGGGCGGTTGCAGATTTCATGAACGGGATATTAGATATATCGCGCAATCCAGACATGAGTGAGGCCAAATATGTAATTTTGCGCTATATCTACCTATGACAAGCTATATGTCACGCAAACGAGCTCACTAGAGCTTGCTTTTCATTGCGTGTCCCAGGTCTCACGATGCGCACTTCTCGTTTCTGCCACCGCTCCTACTATCACTTTCCGTCCCGAGAACATCCGAAGGTGATTGAGTAATCTTATTATTGATGGAAGGATACTGATCGTTCATGAACACGCTCAGAGTCCCGGACATCATGTCAAATTCGCTTCTCGTGTCTCCGGACTTCATGAATACAATAGCCGATGCTCTTGGGCTGAACTACTTACCCTGTGCGTCTTTAATTTTTGCTTCTATCAACACTTCTTGTGACGCTGACGATCATTTCCGCCTCACCTCCTTATCAAAAGCCGCTATCCGAGGTCAGATACGTAACGGTCCAGAATTTGTATGGCGTCTAGGACAAATTCCACATTCAGCAGGACAAGCTTCGCCTCTGATACAGCTCTGGAAGGAACAAACTAAAGAGCGCGAGACAACTGTTTGGTTCAATTTCATGGCATACCGTTATGATATTCTAGACCAATCATACACATTAGAGAAGGAATCCATGGGGCTTCTCCTTGAATTCTGTCAAGTTCTCGAAGGGCAAGTTGGTAAAGCTGAAATCATGACTGATGGTGCGGCAGCAATCAGTCGGGTAGCGGCATTACAGATATCATCTGCAAATAATCTTCAGCCCGATATCTTGCCATGTGAGTTGTCTATCTACTTAGTTAGGACTCGGAATACCTTGTGTATTTGACGGATTATAAGGGGGCTAAAGCAAATCGCCTTTGTGTGTTTTGGAAACAGCGGTATACCAAGGTCGAATAGGTCAGTCACTGAGCATAACCATACATCTCAGCGAAGCAATAAATTTCAAAAACATTAAGCGTGATTATTAATTTTTAATTGATTTCACTTCCCTCTGTGGCACTTGCAGGGTTTGCCAAAGGTGTGTGGTCATATAATTTCTCTTGTATTACATGAGCTCATCTGATTATCTTTTCTCAATCAGGTTTGTGGTATCTTGACCCAAATTCGAATCCACTGGATACTACGACTTGGATCGAGATACGTGACACCCAGTGGAAAGCGGAACCCCACGTAGGATTTTTGTATCACTTCAACCTTTGTCGTTACTCGGTCGCCGTGAATTCCACCACTTTGGGCCGGCAAAACTTGCGCGTAAGTCTCTTTCGACACCAGAATGCACTTCAATCATGTAATATGGGGTTGACCCCGAGATTTCCATAATTTTCGCGTTTGACCTTAGGTTCTCTCTTCAAGAGGAATACCCAATGAAGTTTTTGAAGAACTTCTCGAGGAAGCTATCAGAAGCAGTCTAGAAGCGTTTGACACACCAGACCCAATGGAGCTCATTCATACGCTTTCCAACGAGAGCGCCATCTCCTGCCTTCGTACACGCACCCTTCTCACCCATGGCGGAGCTAGTAGGATCGAGCACGACCCCACTCTAAATCGAACATTCGATCAAGACTCTGTCCCAGAGAAGAAAAGTTCAGATCAAACTTCGGATAGGCTTCATCCCTTCTCATTGCAACCGGCAGATGCTATTGAACAACTTCTATGCATGCTCGAGGCCGGCTTTCCAGTAAGTAACAGAATTGTGGTTGAAAAATTGAGAAAAGTAAGAATTGAAAAATTGACAAAAATGGTAAGCAAAGACTCTTTGAACCAATTTGCCTCGTCTCTGTTATTGGGAGCTAATGGTAGCCAACATAAAGCGTCGTCTAAGTGTACCCCTCAGTCTCAGCTGCTACGTCTATGCGATCCCAGATCCGTAAGTTTAGCGACTAGTGATGTGGACAAAATCATCAAGCGCCTGATTGATCCTCTGTAGCACCGGAACTCTGCAAGCAGGCGAAACTTTCCTGCAGTTTTCGACATTTAGGTACTTTTGGCCTTACCACTCCCAGTTAGTCAAAAAGAGACACTAACAATCCATTTCAAATGACACAGAGACTCTACAGGAACCCGCCATGGGATCTTGGCTGGACCAGCTTTGATATGGAGATCACCCTGTGCAGCCGTAAGTCCTCTGAGGTGTTCTTCGCGCAGATTGCCTGTCCGTAAAGCTGATCTGAATTGCATGTATATCACATCTATCAGCCAATAGATGTTAGAAAGATACAATTGGTAGCAAACGAGCATTTACAACGTGTATACTTTGATGTTATTGTTTGTTCGACTCGTGGGGATAGGGCTATGCTTAGTATGCTTTCAGGAGGTAAGTCATCCTTTCTATATCCATAAGTTGAAGCAACTGAAAAAAACGGTATCTTTCAACAGGTGACTATGATGGTAAGATACAAATCCTCGAATTCATGAAAAATGTCCATTTCAAGAAAATAGTACACACTAAGTGTGAAACATGTGTATTGAATTCCAGGCGATCAAGTCTCTGTCACTTGGGACAAGAGATTAGTCGATCCATTTCAAAACGCGGATCCAGGTGCTTATCCGGAGATGCAAGAGGAATATTGGTTTGATAGTATGTGATTTGTGACTTTTTATCAATAATGAAGCTGTTTTCTTTGACGTGATTTGACTTCTGATTTCTTTTTATACTTCACAATCAGACAAGCTCGCGGGCGCGATTGGGAAACGTCTGATGAAGCCCTACATCGATGACCCAACAACCTTTGTCAGAGAGGTTCAGGATATCATTATAGATGGACTCTTTACTCCGTCTAGCTTTTCGGCATATGCTGTATTGCATGGAATGTTTTGAGTCAAGTTTTTTCACAACGAAGACGATCAGCAGAATCACTGAAGCCTAAATTTGTTACTCTTTTCAAAGGTGCGATTACTTACTGGAAGCCAAGCATCCTCTGACGCTTGCTACAGGATGGATATATGTTAAATGCCTGGATGCTGCCAAACAGGGTATGTCGAGTCGTCCATTACTCTTTCTTACGTATCACGCTGACAAATGGTTTTGAAACGGCTATGGGGTGATTCAGGGCTCGTTCTCAAGCGAACCAGGGATGCAGACATACAACGAAGATACAAGCAGGAGCTACAGAAAATCGGGATTACTCTCGATCAATTCGGCAATGCTCCAATTCCGTCCTATGAAAAATGTTTGGCACGTAATGAAAAAAAATGTATATCAGGATTCAAGAGGTCGACCAGCATTAATCCAGAGACATATATACTTGGTAATCATTTTTTTCGATATCCATTGTTATCTACTTGAAAATCTCATTCCAACTTTTGAACCGGTGAATTTGATTTCGAAATACAGGTCTTGTATACGAAGTTACGACTGCGGCTTTTGACAAATACAAGGACGGTAACAAATCACGCGACAAAGCTACACACTCACGCCGTGCCCTGGACAAGGATGATGACCTACGCCGATATTTTTTGGATCAGAAGAAGATCTTTGATCAGTTACATCCGAAGTCGGGCGAGTCAAGTTTAACAGATTGGGCAACAGCCGGAGTTTGGCATGGAATACTTAAACATATGCAGCGTGAAATTGCAGTTTGAGTGGTTTCCTTTATCTTTTCATATCACCTTTCTTTTATTCGTCGCGATCCAAGTCAATCTAACGTATTACCGAGATAAATCTTACACAGGACTTGCAACAGAAGTATAAAGAAATGGCAGCTAAGATGATCAATGAGCAGAACAACAATCAAGCTATACAGGAAGAAGATCATTATGTACCAGCGATGGGTAATAATAAGATGATCTTGTTAGTAAACTTGATTTCATGATTTCACAAAGCTTCTTTTTGTCAAACTCACAAAAAAAACAAACCGAATGATACTTCAATTAGGATGAAACCGATCTTGAGCGCATACCATGTGGATTTAAGTTTGGAAAATGCGTACAAGACTAATAAAACAGAAAAAGAATTCTTTTCAAAGTCTGGTTCGATTTCTGAAAAAGAAAGAAATGCGTTTCTTCAAGGTAAACAAGGATATCTAGATGCATTGGGTCATAGTGGATATTCACTCTTAAAGGTATGTGATCTTATGTATCGAAGCTGTGTTTTTGTTGATTAAAGATGTAAGTTCTGCTGGCTTATTGGGTTTTCTACTTCAAAAACATACAGGCATCTTGTGCAGCTTCGAACTCGAGAGCAGAAGGGCGTTTCCCTTTTGATGTTGCGTTTCGAGAGGTAAGAAGTCTGGCACTCCCATTTCCGAAAAAAAAACATTGTAGAACTGATCATATTCTTTAACAGCTATGTTATTTGAAGGCTCAGGCATCCATGAAAAACACACATGGGAATTCTAGTCTGAAATTAACAGACATCGAACAAGAATCATTACCACCATGGACACTTGACAGTACCAGTCATTATGCGATGCTCTCTAGAAGAATGCTCTACAGTAAGAGACATGCTACAAAATCTGAAGTGTAATTTGTTTTTTTTTCGTTCGGTAGACAGTTTAGACCCTTTTTTCCTTTGCACAAAAAAAACTTTGTATAAAAGTATGTTGAACAATTTGTGAAGTTTTGATTATGGTACCTTTCATACCTCGAAAATACGAAAATCATATGCAAGCTAAAGAGTTGAGTAGAACCTTGATCACACACGTTTGCCAATATCAGACTTATTTTTACGAAGGTTTGAGGTTGTGGCGATGAGCTTTAACTTTGATTAAGTTGACAAGAATGCTCAGGGATAATAACAGAACGGACGATAAAGATGCATTCAATGTTTTTCCAGTTCTGAGAGAAATCGAAGTTGACCTTTCGGGTAAAAATCACATCGATTTCCTTAGCAGATAACACATTTTATAATTTAAAAATCCAATCAGATTTTTCTCACACATATCTTAATTACTTTTTATCTACTCGAATCAACCTACGTATCAAACCCAAACCAAAAGATATTTTCCAATATTTTTCAACTGGACAAATTGGTTTCACCATAACAATCAGAGTGAAGAAACAAAAAACCCATTTGATATCAATCCCCCCCTCGTATCCTATCCTTCATAACTAACAAAAACATGTCATTCCCACACCTCAATCAACCAGAAATCTTTACAAATCTTCTATTCATTTTTTTTTCTCTTCCAATTTTTTTTTCTCTCTTTCGGTTATCAAAAACTTATCATTGTATACAAAAATTCTAACAAAAAAAGAACAAATAACCCAAATCAACATAAGAAAAAAAAACCCATATCGTGATGTGACCTTTTTGTTTCACGAAAAAAAAAGAAACCTTTTTTATTTTTTATAATTAAATGTATCTTAAAATTCACTTCCTTCAACTCTAAAAACTTGAGCATAATTAAAATATCCCTTTTATGACACCAAAAAAAAATCAAAATGATCTCAGTATTATTCAAGATTTGAAACAATAGAACAAAAAAATTAAATCAATAGATGACAAAGTACTAACCTGCATACAAGTCTTTAAAATCACTTGTGGTAAATTCATTGAAACCAACGAGTACGAAATCTTAGCCACTCCTTCCTGTTTAATTAATTTAAACAATTGATGTCCAACAGCTGTAGGAAACTAATAATAAAAAACCCACATTTTTGTTTAGTCATCTTCTCAAAAGAAAAGAAAAACCCTCATCCAAGATTTGATAAAGAAGAAGAAGAAAAAGGGTACTCAACTGCCATTTCCATATACCAACGATGTTGATAAGTACTCAATCTAATCGCAGCATTCAAACTACGTTGTACATCACCTTCATCAGTATAAAACTCTAATAACTTTAACCAAGCCTTTGCCGAGAATTTAGCATCTAAACAACGTTGATAAGCATCTTTAGATTCTTCTTTATGATGTAACCTTAAAGCTAGATCTCCTAGGATTTCCCATTCTGTACCGGTCTTTCGATACGGCATATGTTGAGCTTTGAAATGTGCTACTTCTGCCCTCCAAATCGTATAGACTCTTAAATCCTACAGATCAAATTTATGTTACAGAAATCGTCTCGTAAGTCTATCTACGAGCCACTAACTGAATCAGATTCACTAAGACCTCCAAGTCACATACCTCGTAGAGTACCATAAACAAATTATCTAACCATCTCTCACACAGTCTCTTATTCATAAACGCATTCTTCGCAGGCGCAGGCTTGGCTACAGGTACCGATTGTTCTCCAGTATCAATACCTAATCCCAATGGTTCTTTCTTAGACTCAGTGGATGGGAGTGTATGAGTAGCCATCGGTCGATCCACACCTGGTGCTTCACGTGCCATTGGGCTTTGAGGAGGTGTATCTAGAGGTGAATGATCTTGACCATTCTCAGATGGAACGGTTGACTCCTCTGAAGGTTTTTCCGCTTGCTCTTCTGACATTGAAACAGTGATCGTAGGTATCGGACTGGTAGGAGGGTTCGAGTGAGTTGGTTCTTCAGTTGGACTGTTTCGTTTCGAAGACTGGGTATTCTTAGGACTCGTTTCAGTAGTTTCGCCCCTCTCATCTTGTTCAACAACTGGAGAGCGCTGTTTAGATGAAGATCCTTGACCACTAGTCGATTCGCTCATCGATCTTTGTTGTCTATACTCTTCTTCCATCACAAATACCTGACTCCGACATTTCAAGAGCTCATCCCAACCCACAAGAATCACGAGTTTGGTCAAAAGAGCATAAGCTTTCTGAAATGTACCACGTAAAGAAGGTGCCGGCAATCGCAGTAAGGCAATATCAGCCTCATTATCTCGTGCTGAATCTTCATCCAAGATTTGAGATTCAGCAATAAATGCCTTGATAGGTAAATGACTTCGGGCAGGTGTAGGCATTCGATGTAAATCGCGTTCGTTGTATGTAAACATTGGACACGAGTTGAGGGTCAGTAAAGCCTAAGATCCAATCATAATAGTCACGTCAGCTTATCGAGATTGAAGAAGCAAACACGGAAGTTGAAAACTTACATCTGAATATCGACCAAGTTCTATATAAACTTCTGTAAGTTTAGCCCAAGTGACGAATTCACTGGGTGCACAATTGACCGCTTGCCTGGCAAGTTTAAGGGCCCACTGAGTATACTGATTACTTCCAACAAGAGAAAAAGATTGTGAATTGATTTGTCAGAGAAATGAGAATCCGAAACAAATTAACCATTGAAGACAGAGGGGATACTCACTTCACCACCCTTTGATCTTAAGAAATCACATTGAACATGAAGTAATGCGTAAGATTGTGGCATTTCTTCTAAGGCGTGATTAAGTACTTGAACAGCTTTGACTTCTTCATCTATATTCGTTATGAAAGATCGATTGTTCAATTCATGGCTCATCTGATGAATGAGAACGTTTGATCAAGTTTACTGACTCATTCCGATATATGCTTGTGCTAAAAGAGCCGCGACCTCAGCTTCTTTGACTGCTAGCTTTTCGAGAAGGTTGACTGCTGGACCCCATCTAGATACGAATACTCAAATTTAGATCATTTAATTCGTGTCTGGTGATACAAAAACAGAAGACACACCTAAAACCGTCACCAAAGTACTTCATGATACCTGTTGTGAGGTGATTCGAAATAACAGTGGCAACTTGAACTTCTGGGTCACTTCCAAGTTGCCAACCTAAAAACAAGATGATACTAAACATCAAACAGCTTTAAAATGATCACAATCAGTCAATCAGGTTTACTTACCTTTGAAAAAGATTTCTTCAGCAGCTCTCAAGAATCGTTGCTCGCTTTCAGGTGTGATGATCGGATCAATTTTACGAAACCCAGCAAGTCGATAATTAGGATCATCCGCATAAAGAATGGCGCGTAGGATAGCTGATACATAGGTTTCAGTCCAAATCGCAGGTGTAGGTTCGTGTCGTTCACCTCTCAAATCGATCAAATAAGCTTCAACACCACCTGGAATCTTAACCTCTACTCGTACATCTACTCTGGAAAAGGCGTTAAAGCAACTAGATCACCGGAATAAGATATCAGATGAGTATTTCGTTTGTGATACCAAAGTCAAGGTCATCTTAGCTGACCAATAACAACCACTTCTGATTCGCCATCCACCTTTATTACTACCACCTGCCCATCCTCCTAACCAACTTCCACTCTCTTCTATTGAATAAGTCAATGAATTACTTTCGAAATGTATCCAAGATAGAAGTTAGAAAACGTTAAAGAAAGACGTTGGTTATTCTTTTTGATAAAAAAAAACTTACAGATAAGCAGCTAAACTTGCACTACTACTTGCATCAGCACCACTAACATAATGATAACTTCCAAGATCTTTTTCAACTGTATTTGTAGGTGATGGTTTTGCTCCTACTTTCGAAGTGGTTTTCACTACATGACATAGATCTGGTGGACCTAGTTCACGAAATGAACTTAAGGTTTCAGTTCTTGATATTAAACTTTCACCTACATCGACCTAAGGAGATTGAGAGATATTGAAGATGATTAGCATTTGATAAGTTGATTGTGATGTTTGATGAATCAAGTTTCAGTCGTAAAAGAGTTTAGAGCCAACCTCGAAGAATTCAGGTAAATCCTTTAGATGATCACCCATGTTGAGTTGAAATGGTTAGTGTTCTTTTCTGATATTGCTTGAGATGGTTTTTGAATGAGATGCTGAGTTAGATTGGGGTTGAGGTTGAGAATGAGAAATGAGAAATGGTTTTTAGTTTTTGGTAATCGAAGGGTTGATTGAGATTGAACTGATCGATTTACATATACAGCTTCATCAATACACTTCAATCGAAACGGTCATCGAGAGAATGATCGAAGCACCAAAGCTTTGAAGCAATCCAAGATGACTTCAACTTCCAATCATCACCATCATCACCACCATAGTAATAATCCCAATTCAATCTCAAGACGTTATCATTTAATCACCGATCAATCTCTCAAGAATGATGATGGCAAATTCATCTTGATCAACTCCCAAGAATTAAAACTTTATCAATCTTGGCGTTCAACTATCAATCATCAGAAATCAAATCACAATCAATCTTATCTTCATCATCGTTTGATTTATAATTTAAGCAATCTACCCCAAGCTAAAGTATGTTATCAAATTGAATCCGTGAATCAGCAGGATATTTTATTGAGTTTTGGTTGATTTATAGTGTTACGATTGGTTTACTAGTCCTAATCATCAATCCGACCTTCTCGCTGCTGGAACGTACAATGGCAGAGCCTATGTCATCAAGCTTCCTAAACTCAATCAAACTTTCAACAAATCAAACCATTCAACTTCAAATTCCAACCTCAACCAATCACCTCTCATTGGCCATTCCACCTTACCTTCTAGCTCCAATCTTCGTCCTTGTACTGCTATAGCTTTCTCTCCTTCTGGTCGGCTCATTGCACTTGGACTTGAAAAAGGAAGAGATTATGGATTGCAGATACTTGATATTGAAGGTCTATCAGGTTCGTTCATTCCAATCACACTCAGTTTATCTCTTCCTTCTTTGATTAATATCTCTTCTTTTGATTTGAATCCCTAGATCGTTCGAATTCTACAGCCATGGAAACACATCTTCAAAAACCTTCCATTGCACATGCTGTGAACTCGGAGACTATCAATGCGCTTGGATTTTTATCCGTCACTCCAGCTTCGCATCAATCTTTGCTTTTAGTAGCCAGCTCGACCAAGTCAATCAGACTTTATGATTTACGTTCACCTGGTTTGAACTCTAATGAGCGTGGCCCTCGATCGTCCCTATCTACTTCGCATCCTATCGTATCTCAGGTACTTAATCCTAATGGTCAATGGGTCACTCGTTCAGTCCTTGGATTCAAGTCCGATCCATTCGATCCTCATCGTTTTGCCTCATGGTATGGCTTTGGTTCTCTTTATCTTTCAATCACATTCAACCTATTGGCTATCAACGCTAGTCTCTTGTTGGCTTTAGTCAGAACTTGCGATTCCTTATCAAAGGGCTTGCTTGCTTTTCTACTTGATCTTCTAGGGGAGATGACGGCTGTGTAAGGATCTGGGATACCCGCAAGACCACCGAAAGTTTACTTTTGCTTTCTGAGGACAGCGTCAGTCATGAAACTCGATCTACTTCGGCTCGTTCCAGCAAAAACCCACCCATGTCCTTAGGTTCAAGTTCGATTCAATCCTTGACCTGGTCCAAATCCAGGAAAGGAGTCTTGGTCACCCTGTCTGCCGATCCTCAGCGTGTCAGAGTTTGGGACCTCGTCGAAGGATCGATACAGTCTATGGCATTGCGCAATCGTTCCGACGGAATGACATCTTTGAAGTCTTGGGATAATGTACCCGCCTCACTCACAAATGCTAGTGCTTATCGAAACAGCGCCCAGTCTTCTCCAGTAGCATCATCACAAGAATCTCCACGAATTCCTGCTTACACAGTATATTCCACTCGTTTATTGAAACCATTGAAAAGGACTTCTCAGATAATAGCGGGTGTCCGCATTCCTACAATCACTTCATCCGAACGAATCCCTGGTCCTGATTCAGTTTTCGAAGAGATTTCGGAAACCTATCTGGGTATCTCGCGTGATGGGCACTTAGAGTTCCTGGAATCTCGACCATCAGGGGAAGCTGCTTTTGGATCCAAAGGCAATATGGTCATCAGCGATGGAATGCGTCTCAGAATTACCGCCCGTCCTTCGAATCAGGATGATAAGGTGTCGTGCAATACCATACCGGATCTTCGTCTGCCCATCGCATCCCAAGTAGCAAGTCCGGAGAATCAGGCTAGCTATATCCCTAGCCCGGCTTTTAGTCCATCAATCTCTACTGCATTGTCTGATGCTGGTCTACTTACGCCACGTCCATTGGGTTCTGAAGGATATCCCTATAATCAATCTCAATCACATCATCGTCCACCTTTACCAAGCGGTCTCGCTGAATTACAACTTGCCAACAAGTTTGGTCGTCATTTGACCGTCAATTCAACCTGGGAAAACTCGATGGGCTGCGATGAGAGCAAAGATGAACATTTGCTTCAGAATGATATATCTGCAATCATGATGAAGCGAGCTTGTGTAGGATATGGTACAAATGTATGACATCTTGTACTTGTTCACTTGATCCCATCAATGATTGACTTACGAATCATCTTTCCTAGCTCCTGAGAAATCAACAACTTACGTCCGATAGCCCAGAGTTGTCTGGGTTTTGGGAATGGATCGCACGTAAAACATTACCGTTTTCTTGTGTTGTAGCTTTTATCCTAACTTTGAAACTTTGTTTTAGACTCAGAAAAACTCTTTCAACAAGGAAACGGAATGGTGAACGGCTACGACTTCAGCTTCAGAGGCGTATTATCAATTATGAGGGGATTTACCACTGGGACTGGTCTTCGATTGGAAATCCCTAACTGTCAAACTTATAAACATGCAATCTCAAGCACATCGGATACATTTGCACACTCCGATCCAAGCCTACGTACTTCTCATAGCAGAAGGTCAAATTCACGTAATCCAGATCAACAGAAAGAATTGTCTAAATATATGAAATCTGTTAGACAATTCAATCATACCAATCAGATCAATAACTTTACAATTTCATCCGAGTTTAGTGATCAACGACAAACTGCTCTGTTCCTTTGTGGACCGGATTACAATTCTAAAGATATCGATCAAATCGCTTCAAAGTATGAAGCTTTGGGAATGTATGGTAAAGCTAGTGCGATTTCATTCTTTTCTGGTAACACGCAAAGAGCTATTACCAGTCTACAGAGGAGCAACGGTTAGTCAACGGTACTCACATCACTGTTTCGGCATAAACTAATTGACGAGGTGTTTTTTTAGATACCCAATTGCAGCTCCTTGCCCCACCACTTGCAACTCACCTCAATACGCAAAGATCAGGACATCCCCGTGACCCACTCTTCGATCAAGTCTGTCGACAATTAGCCAATGCTGCTGAACCTTATATTCGGGCTGTCTTTTCATATTGCTCTACTGGAGATTGGCATGAGGTAATTGATGAAACTGGTTTACCCCTCAAGGATCGAATTGCTGTAGCGTTACGATTTCTTCCGGACGAGGAAATTTTTCATTGGTTAGATGGTGTGGCACGTGACATGGTGTCTTCAGGTTGCTTGGAAGGAATCTTACTCACAGGGCTTCAACCATCGATGAACCTCAGTATCAATGGTGAAGCTCAGGTTTCTGATGGATTCAAACTTTTAAAAAATCACATCAATCGGACTGGCGATCTTCAAAGTGTAGCCTTATCAATTTATTTATTAGTACCTGATAGATTACATTCTTATGGGATGGAACGGTGTATAGAAAGTTACAGAAGATTATTAGATCGATGGAAACTTTATACAGTTAGGATTAAATTTGATATAGCTCGAGGAAAAAAAGCAAGAGAAATTTCAAGTTCTCAAAAATCATCAAACTTACCTTCTCTTGTACCTTTAGCTCCACCTCAATTGATTATTTGGTGTCAACATTGTTCTGAAGTTTTATCTGATGCACCCAATGTTACGGCTCATTTGAATAGTATTTCGTCTATTCCTGATCTGGGTACTACTAACACATCAAATCTTCATGGTTCGAATCTTGCTAATATGGCTAGTTTTAAGAACGTTGGACCTACACCTGTGGTCTATCGGGTAAGCCAACCCTTGTCACACATCCTCATTTTTCGATTTTTTGACATATCATGACGTTCTTAGACAAACCGATGTCCTGGATGTGGTAAATCTTTACGAAAATGTGCAATTTGTCTAATGTCTAATAGTAATAAAACGTACAGTAAGTCTTCAAAACGTAACTGGTGATTTTGTTTGTTTATTATACATAATTGCTGATGATACCATTCTTATGTGATTTCTTTTTTTTTTGATGAATTAGCTTCTGATCAATATTGTTGGTGTCATCGATGTAGACATTTATCACATGCTGATCATTTGCAAGAATGGAAAGATAGAGGAAATGAAGTTTGTCCAGTGACTGGATGTGAATGTAATTGTTGGGAAGATAAATGAAAGTTTTGAATTGTATGAAAAAGTAGATGTGAATATGATCTTAGTCAAAAAAGTATCTGAAAAATAATGTATTTGTTCAAGTTGAAATTGTTTTGTTGGCTTTTTCTTTTTTGGTTCCAAAGCGATTTGCAAGGATGGGCTTTTTGGTAAGTTTGAATCAATTTAATTCGCAATGAAAAGAATTGTGGGTGTGTTATGGTTTGATGATAGAACCTAGGATTTATCATCCATATTTGTTGACGTGATACATTCTTGAAACTTGGTTACCTACACCTGTTATGTCCACTACTTTGCTTATACGGAAGAATTCGGTATAAAAGAATGTTGATTCGATGAATCCTATCTTCATCTGATCACGAGTAACGACAAAAAGGTGTTTGAAGAATTATAGAGTCTGACATGTTCTACCTCTTGAACTTTGAAACTATTGATAATAGTACAGGGTCATCGCCGGGTTTTTTCAGAAATGAGATGATTTTAGTGGGCCGCAGGTTTCTCTTGAAACGGATCAACACAAAGGAAAAGGAGGTATATTCAGTTCATCAAGATATATAGCACCATTGGATACCAGCCTGGCGTTTATAGCTTCCCAGGAAAAGTGCAGCACGGATGAAGTCCAATATACATAGGTACAGAGCGGATGTGAACGTTCATTCGTCCCAAACCCATCGAGGAAGCTTCAGAAAAGAGCTGGTTGTCTTTGGTTATAGAGGTGTACAGTCCACTGCAGCATCGTTCTCTGACAAAATTGCTGGGCCAGCGCAGGCAGGATGAAGATCGTCAGATGAGATTCTGCATTGGTTTTTGATCATTTGTTGAGGATCAATCACAACAAATTCTGGTTTGCGGACAGTGATTGGCACAATGGGACAGCGATCAGCAGCGTGTGCTTGAAAACATCGATCCGCGGAAAGCTATGCTGAGGTTTGCTCAAAACGTAAGGGTTGACGCTGTGTTATGCATTAAGTGTTTACCAACATCATTCAAATCGTTCACTTCTACAGAAGCAACACCCACTTTGAATCTGATAGCATGAGCATTCAATAATATAAGGCTCATCAACTCTCTTTTACTCCTCATTCTCATGCCAAGATGACCAGTTATATGTTGATTTGATACCAAAAGATAAACAATAATATCAAAGCAAAGACATGATGTTGATTTGTAAAGCAACTAAAAGAAACCTCTCAGAAATGAAGTTCAAGTGATTTCTTCATTATCAACCTACGCTTACTATTGAATTGAAACTTGCTACTTCTAAAAAACTTGAAGTTGAAGCAAATACTTACATATCAACAGTTTGAGCTTAGAAACAAAAGGTGAATGTTTTCCCTTTGAGAACTTGCTTGGCTCATTATAATGACCTGCACAATATAAAGTGTTTATATTTCCAATGATCAACGAGGAAAAGAAATTGCGAATGAAGCTTTTCTTGCCAGATGATTTTATTTGGGTATCTTTCTGAGTCAAGATTTATGATCCACTACCTCCGGTACAAAATAGTGCATGTGATGAATTGGATTTGAAGTACCTCAGATTCACCATCAAAGTTGACCTTCAGCCTTCGTAAAGTTCAAACACCCCACAGTGGTGATGTGCCTCCCTACTCAGGTTGGCTACGTCAGTCATTAGGGTGAAACCTTTTGAGCCATGCGTATCGTACATTCAATGGATTCAAGAAGCAATCGTCGAAATGATGTCCATTTTGATCGCTAGTGGACCTTTTCTCCAGGAGCCATAAGCTTTATTCATCGAGCTCGTCAATGAAGATAGCACCTCGTGCTGTTCAGATGCTCCTTGCGATTTATAGCTTGGCTCCTCTTGATCTTCACGTCCGGCTTCTTCACGTGCCTCTATTTATTTTACTCATCAACACACTCACTCAATAATTTTTGCATTGCAATCAAGAATTATTGACGATGAAAGAACAGTAATATACCACATAGTCACCTATCTGAAGACTATACCTCAATAAACGGAGGCAGAAACGTTGAACTCTAGCTTGCAAACCAAAATAGTTCTATAAAAGAAATTCGTATCTTTCTCGAAATCCTCTTGATGAATTGACGATGTTTTTTTTGATATCTTTGAAGGTAATCATTCATGATTTGATCCTGAGCGAGTGAAATTCATTCAATACGTTGAAAACCTAGTCTACTGTTGAGTAGGAAAACTCATCTTATTGATTCTTCTCGAGCTTATTAATAAAACTCTCGAAAGATTGATGTTCAGGTTTGAAATTGGCTTGTCAGGATATTTCATCATTTGTTTTTGAGGTACGCGAACAGTCCCTATGAATTGAGGTATAGTCAGTTAAGAACCCAGCTTGGTGATCGAATTCTCTTGCAAAAGGTGATGAAGTTTGATCGAAGTATTGTGGCTGTCAGCATAAAGGGTGAGATCACTAGATTTACTCACTTGAATGACGCTGGACTGCAGGACTGGAAAAAAAGATGAGCAAAACCAATATTTGAATCAAAGGAGTATCCTATTGGATCAAGTACATTTCAATCTTTGAAGATAGAGTTCAAAAAAGGAGTTCGAAGCTTGCCTGGCGGATTGTTTCCTATGAGTAAATAACCTGAGAATACTTGTTAGAAGGCGTTAGAGATCCTATGACAGTGAACCTCTTCTCAAGATAATGTCACCACATACAAAGAAAACATTGATCTCAACATTGAGAACTTTCTCTGAGGTCTGTCACTCCGCGGCGAAAAAAATCGCTGAGAATTACTGCTGTATCGCCAAGACTGATACTGCCCATCACAAGGAGTGAATACTGATGTCGAATTTCAAGCATTATCGCATTATGAAAAAATGATAATGTACTGGTTTCATAATTTTTAGAAAGTCGCGTGAGGGTCAGCTTCGGGTCGGGAACTTTGTGATATAAAAAGCTCACTTTTCTCGAAATTCGTTTCCTACTCTCTGCCACCACTTCCGTCACCCACCCCACAAGAAACGTGTTTACTCTTTCTCAAATCCTCAACATTTCTCTTCAACCTACATAGTTATCATCATGAATATCACGAAAATATTCGGTCCTCGTTTCCAAAAAACTATCGTAGTCTACTTTCCTTTCAATTTCTCTTTTGTTATCATTCTCCTCTATTTCACTACCAAGATCTATTCACCAAATGTTCCAGAAAAGTTTGTTTTGAAGCTCATCGCTCGAAATTTACCGATCATCATTTCTTGGGCTATCCTCTACGCACAAACTCTTTATTTGCACTTTGATGTTGCTCCAAAGAAATCTACTACCAAAGTCAAAGACGATATCGAAATGGGTCCTATTCCTTCAAAACCTCTTGATGCTATTCCCCCCGCTCCTGCTAGAACACGCTTGACGCCTCTTCCTTCCGAATTCGTCGAGATTGATCTAGGTATGTGATCTGGTTTCGAGTTTCTTTGTTTATTCTTTCATTGTTTATTCCTCTTTGTGAATCGATTCTGATCATTTCTTTCCGATTTGATGCGCGTTTTTAGGTGAAGGTCCCTCAAACAGCGGTCTTCCTGGTCCTCCTCGTCCTTTTCTGACTTGTGAAGTTTGAAGAACTCGGTTGAATCTGATCATGGTATGTCATCTTCTTCCTGAAGCCCTTCGTTTCTCTTCTTTTTTCAATCGGCCTAACATTCAGTTTTGCATCTATAGTTTCGCCTCGACGTTTGCAAAGTTTTCTCATAACGTTTCCAATTCTCTCATTCAAAGTGTGAGCGCGTGGTATTTCATTTGTGTGGAGATTTTAGTCGGCTTTTTGATTTGAAATTCATGTGATGTTGCGATCTGGTACTTTGAGAGGAGATATCTGATACTTTGGCTACACTCTCTCTGAGCGCGTTCAATTTGGTTCAATGTGATATAAATCGATCTCTGCTTTGCCATGCGGGATAAAATCTGAAAGGGCCCTATGTTTCATTATATCTTGTGGGATATCGTATAAATTGACCCAATGAGAATGCATTTCAAAGACAACGATATAGGAAGTCGTTTTGCCCATAAGATGATTTGACTACAGCGGTAAGAATCGGCGGACTACAATATGCGATATTCAAAAAAAAATTGCAAAAATTATTCAAACACTTTCTTTATATATGATATTGGAAATGCTACACTACCAGACAATTGCAGTTTTCACAGATAAGTAGAGAAGTCAAGAGCAATAGAGAATGGTCTACATGCGATCCTTCTAGCCTTCTCTCCCTCCTTCGTGGATATAAATGACGTTCCACGCTATTGAGAAGTCTTTCGTACAATCCTGATTCCTGTTCAGCTTTTGATCGAGCGCACGGTTACAATATCAGCCCCAGAAAAAGAAAGAGAAGATAAAGCCGGGGACATACAGATGTAGAACATAATTTTTCATCACAATCTCCTCCTGCTTGTAACTCAGCTTGTCCCGACGTTGCCATTCCCTTAGCTGACCAGAGGTATGATGAAAATTGATGGTTCAGGGTTCGTGTCAAGACATTTCGCTTCGATTATGACTGAACCTTGTCTACGTGAGACCACACATTCTCTTACTCAGCTTGCTTGGCCGAGCCTAGCGCTTGCGTAGACGTTTTTTCAGAGGAGCGTAGGGTGTCCATAGAGCAACTCGTCTGAAACTGCGTGAAGTATTATTTGTCCTTCTTCATGTAACTACAATGCTTGATGATCCCGAAATAAACGCACGCCAGTCTACAAATTGAAAGGGGTGGTCAGCGGCAAATCATAGTGCCAACGACGTGCTTCTTAGAATCCATTGCTAACCTTTTGTACATGAGATTTGAGACTCGCATATATCCAAATCCCGAACGATCGTCCGTATTGCGAATGCGAGAGATGCACATTGGAGCCCGCGAGTCCGGCGATCGAAATCGAATGTGGTCGAGGTTTGAGTTGCACCCCTTTTCTTTTCAATCTTGCTAATGAAATTGTAAAAAGAATCCATCGTGGCAGGTGAGACGGCCTGAAATCTCAAAGAGCCGGATGATTCATGGATATCGTGGATCGGGTCAAGCGAGTCTCGGTACTTTTGAATATTACCCCTTTGGCTCATTCACATTGTTGGCTTGATTTTGAAACACTACATACCAATCTTCACATCAATCTATCAGTATCACACTTCCACTTCACGAAACACTCCTACCAAGTAATATACCAACCTTTTGTTGAAGTGATAAAGGATGGTCTTCTGTAAAGCTTCCCTCATCATTATCTTATCACACATCATCGAGATTTCCATCGCTACCTCAAAACTCAATCTTAACCCGAAACCTGCCTCTCGAATCCTCAAGCTTTCAAGTCATTCGACTCCCTATATAACGAACACTCCTGTAGTCGTCAGTAGAATCTCAGTTCTCAATACGGAAACAGTCATCTTTCTGACCATTTTTATAGATCTGGCATGGTCTAGGAGATAGTTATAAGAACCCAGAATTCGACAGACTATCTGAATCTATCACTGAACGCTACCCAGGAACGTCTGTATACTTGATACATCTTGCAGAAAGGCCAGATGAAGACCAGTGAGTGATGAAACTACCTTCAAAATCTGTTACTTTGGCTTACGGGTTGTTCATTCATTCGGTATTGTAGAAAAGCTACATGGTTCGGATCTGCAAATGCGGAAGTAGAGTGAATATCATAACCGGTTATTCATCATGTAGTTTCTTTTCTCTTAAAAACAGATCTTTAACTGATTTCCTACCGCAATGTCTCGTGCCATCTGATCTTCTGTAGATATGTTTGCCAAGAGTTAAACACAATAGATGAGCTCGTAGGAGGTTTTGATGGCATAGGGTTTTCTCAAGGCGGTCAACTCCTACGTGCCTACGTCGAACGATGCAATCAACCACACGTCCGAAACTTGATCACTCTGGGCGCTCAGGTTTGCTATATTAGCACTCACAACAAGTTCCTCATAAAGGCACAGCGAATCTGATTCAATTTACATTTGAAGCACATGGGTGTGTCCGAATACCCTCCGTGTCGTGGATTCTTCGATGTTGGTTGTCAGATCGTGAAACGGCTCATCAGCACTGGCTCGGTCTACTCCTCTTATGCTCAAGAACACAGTTAAGAGCTTCGCCTCCAGAATTTTCGCAGATGATCCGATTTACTTACTCTACGTCTTTTACTTACATTTTAAAAACAACAGTTCTCCCAGCTCAATATTTCCGTGATCAAAGGGATCTGGGGCCTTACTTTGAGCACAATGATTTCCTTCGGGATATCAATAACGAACTTGCAGGTGATCATCAACCGGGAGAAAATCTCACTTCCAGACCTGCTCTTACTCAGGATCCTCCTGAATTGCAACGGAACCAAACTTATAAGAAGAATATGCTCATGTTGGAGAACTTTGTGATGATCAGATTTAGGTCAGTCTTGTGTGAAATTGGTGCAACGCGTACGCGATCAATCATCAGTAGGTCTAACAAATCAATGTATCTTTGACGATGTAGTGAGGAGCAAATTGTTAAGCCAGCTGCATCAGCCCATTTTGGTGTTTCGACGCGTACCGAGGAATCAATTCCCTTGGAACGTCTACCGATCTATAAAGAAGTAATGAATTCCTTACTGTTCTTTTTTCTTCCTCTTCACCTCCGTTAATGATCTTGATCTGTTTTTGAACAGGACTACATTGGTTTGAAGGAACTTGACGAATCGGGTCGAATCGCATATGGTATATGTGATGGTAGTCATATGCAAATCGGTGAACAGTGTTGGAATTCAGTACTCGATTGGATCGGTACTGCTCATCAAGGATTAGTTATACAAACTCAAACTTGATTTCGTCTCTAACACTCTTTTTCTCTTGGTTTTTTATCATCATCCCTTCTTGCTGAAATACTTTGCATTCTGTTTGCCTGATTTGGGGATTGAACTATTGGCTGTTGTCTGACCATTGTATTGCAGTGATTGTATACAATAGCAATGTATGATCAGGAATACAAAAACCTTTGGTGAGAAGATGATAAGCTTTGCATATAAGGATGAGTGCTTGTTGTTCCTGGTTTGATTACATATCTTCTTGTGCTTTTGAAGCGTTCGTATTCGTGGAACTAGGAAAACCGCCAAGCCTGTTATCGTCTAGTGGTTAGGACACCAGGTTCTGATGTCCTGACTTTCCTGGGAACCCCGGTTCAAACCCGGGTAACAGGTCTCTCTTTTTACTCTTGTTTTGAGGCGTTTCTAGTTGCGTTATCTGATGTTTATGCGCATCCAGTGTAACAATAGATGCAGGACAGAACTATCAGGCAGCAAAGTCAGCAAAAGCAACCAACAAGATTGACACCTCAAGTTCAAGCCCATGGAATGTATATTGGGTGGTATATGATCAAATGAAAGTGGATGTCAAAAATGATGAGATCAACTTATTTCTGTATTAATTGCAAAAAAGTGAAGTATGGATCAAGCAAAAAGCATTATGATTTCTATTTTTGGGATTTGCAACTCTTGATGATGGATCACTTTTCCAGTGTACTTTACAAGGTATCAAATTTTCTGTTCTAAATCATTCCTTGAAGACCTCATGGGTCTATTCTCAATTATACTGCACAAAGTTGTTCTAGAACTTTTCCACAAAGTTTCCAAAACAATTTACAGAAAGCCAGAAAGCCAGAAAGCCAGAAAGCCAGAAAGCCAGAAAGCCAGAATATGTTCTGTGTTTCTGTACTTGGGTCAAATCCCCACATCTATCATCACAACCTGAATCACAACATGCCTGACAAGATTTCCCCCTCAGGTACTCTGCCAATGTTGTCACACAAAATATAGCAGCCAATCCTAAACTCTAATTTCATCTGTTCACCATCCAGTCTCATCCATCCTTCTATCTAAATTCCCTCCAGTGTAAAAGTGATATACACCTTGTTGCCATGTCAAAGGATGAAAGGCACCATTGTGGTGGAAAAAGCTACAATTGAGCAAGGTTGAAGCACCAAAATTTTACAAAATTCATCAATTGATGGCTTGTTCACCTTCCACATTGCCCAGGAATTATGGCTTTAACAGGGTTTTTATCAAAAAAATCTTTTTTGGTATGGGATAAGGGAATAGGGGTAAAGTCCAACTTTGGCCCCCACCACAAATGTGGTATCCATACCCCATGGATTTGAAGGGCTTATAGAAATAATGTGGTATGGCTTTCAAGTCAGGATGGGGGTGCAGCCTTGAAAAAAAAGGCGCGCCCTGGCGTGTTCTTGTGAAAAACAGGCGCGTCTAGGTGCCACTGGCGCGTTAGGCGTGGCCTTTCACCGCGCAAAAATGTAACCAACCTTGAATACATATTTTTTGCTGGTAAGGTAGAAGACGGATTGTTTGAAGTTCAATTGTTAATTGAAGTTGATTCATAAAACAACTTGAAATGAATTTTATAAGAAAATAAACATGTGGAAAGCCCAACTTTCTCATCATGCACCTTGGTGCGTTATTTTTTGTGCCCCCATCCTGACTTTCAAGGATCTTGACTGTACAATTCATTTACAATTTTCATCAACACTTTTAATCCTCCACTTTTGAAAATTCCTCTTATCACTCTCTTGTCTGCTCATTCTTTTATGATTTACATTCAAATTTCTCTCTATGTTAGTCTTATTTATAATTATCAGATGTCTGATCTTTTGTTATTGTAAAAGAAGGTGATTGATTTCTTATTTTCACACCTCAAGTGATTTTCAAAAATATGAGTGTCTCCTAAAAGTTGTTCAAATTTGAATTACTAAAGCTCATTTTATTATTTGACATTTTCTGAGTAATCCTGTGACCACTGGCTACCCTTTTGAGATGTTTGTTGCATTGTGAATTAGCTGCAAAGGTTGATGAACATCATTTTGGGGGGTCTCAAGTTCGTTTGTTTTTTGGGTATTCTTTTACAATTTGGGCAAGTTTTTTGTCAACAAAACTGTGTAAAACCAATGTATTTTTGATGTGAGCCACCTAAGAAGGTGTCCCACTTTGAAAAATGTATGCATATTTTACAACAACGGGCAAGTTGTTGTAGTGTAAAAATGTGTAAAGAAGCTAACTTTAAACCCCCTATTTCAAAAGAGTTCCATGTTTTAAACCCATATTACAGTTGAGTTCACAAAGCTTGGAAACAATTCGACACCAATCTGCTCAAGTTTTGCAGGCAAAAAGTTTCAAGCTTTCTGAAATTGACTGTACATGTAGTTGTCATTTGGAAAGCCTTTACAGACTGTGATTTGGAAATTTCAAAATTCACTCCCCCTTTTTATGGTCCTCAAACCTGTGCAAAAAGTTGTGCAAGTTTGTTGCAAATTCTGTGCAAGAAAACTGGCACAGATCTTGCCTTGCCTTGCACATTGGTCTCACACAGTTTTTGTACCAGTTGGAGCACAATGGCTGGGGTTGTCGAGAAGTTTAATGTGCAAGTTTACGGGATACAAAGTAGGGGACGTGCCCGGCCTTGTGCCCAGATTTTTTTAGAAGTACATTTGAATCCCGGGCCCAGACTGTTGCCCAGAAATTCAAGAAACACAGCAAAAAAAATCTGGGCACAAGGCCGGGCACGTGCCCGGATTCTACTTTGTATCCCGCAATATCTTGCACGGATCTTGCACAAGTTTGAGGAGCATAAATAAAACTTTTTGTAGTGATCAGATACTATTGAAGTAGATATGGTACAGTATATATTGAAAGACTCTGTGCCAAATGGAACCTTATTCAGGTCTGTACAATGAATTTCTTACAACCCTCATCACATTCATGCCTTGCTGGTGCATAACTATGCTTTTCTCACCTTGTGGAGGATCCTTGTCATTCTTTTACTTCTGATTGTTCACAATGTTCTGTTCCTTTCACATCTGATGATACAATCACAATTATTTTGTTTGGGTGACCTGTAATGCTTTTGCTACTGTGACATGCAATCTGCAATAGCCGTGTTCAAACCAAACCCGGTTGCACAAAAACCCGGTACACCCGGTCAACTTTTTGGCTGGAAGGTGTCAAGAGCTGTCACTAGATGAACAAAGTTATCACCAAAAACGCAACTGGGTGTACTGGGTTTTTGTGTCAACCGGGTTTGGTTTGAACACGGCTAATAGTGACCTTTTCTTAACCTAACTCCAAATTATGTGTTTGAGGATTGGTATATATGTTCGTTTTCAACCTGTTCTACCTATTTTGATTTTCTGAACTCACAAAGAATTCTTCCACCCCCAAACCAATCCCATACCACAATCTTCCAGCCAATTCAACAAGTCAATATACCTGAATTCCTATTGTACCTCTTTATCTTGTTTTAACAACTACTTCATGTTCCATTTTCTCTTTTACCTCTTTGTGTAAATCTGTGTTTGCATTGGTCTCACACTGAGTGTACAACCCATAATCTTCATACATCTCCTCCATTGTGTGGTCTACTTTACAAAAAAGAAAATGAACAAAACACAATGTGGTCTTGGATGTTACTGGTCTTTGTTGATCCATGTGTCATTATTGATAATGATTCTTTCAAATCCGCCATGCTCTAATGTGTTTCAAGCACTATAGATCTTTATATCTATTTATCATTGACCCTTCTGATGCAGACGTAAGCAGAACATTGTCCTTGTTCTCATTGTTAATTTATGGTCCTCAAACCTATGCAAAAACTGTGCAAGACCAATGTGTGAGATCTGTGCAAGATTTCTTGCACCAATCTTGCACATTGATTTTCTTGATATCCCCAGCTATTGTGTTCCAACTGTTACAAAAACCATGTGAGACCAACGTGCAAGGCAAAATCCATGCCAATTCTATTCATGTCTTGCACAGAATTTGCACAAATCTTGCACAAAAATCTTTGCACAGGTTTGAGGACCATATTTATTTGTCTTTAGATGTAGTTGTAGGGCCAACATCAATCATGCTTTTTCTTTTGCCAGGCAGTTCAATGGCTGATTGGTGCAATCTCCTCCATTTTTTAATTTTTCCCCCTTTGGTCCTTTAATTCTTGTCTTTAGACAAACATCAATTTTACACAATGAATACTACAAGCGGAAGTTCCTTTCAATAATACTCTTTAAATTCAATCTTTTGGTATCCAATGAATTCAAGCCCACCATAGATCCAATTTGTAGGAAAAGTTGATGACTCTGTACATGATCATCTAATGCATGATTTTTTTAATCAAGACATAATCCCACTCAAGCCAATCTCAGTCTGAAGAAGTGCAAACAAGCTTGTGTCATGGGTTCTTAGTTGAAGAGAAAGATTTGGCTTCACGTGAACCTTACAAAACTTTATGTCCTCTCAATAACATTTTACCTGTTGTGGGCATGCCTGCATATTCTCTAGTACCCCAAATTTCCGTACGTCACTGTTCATGACGCGCGGCTGTGGATGCTCTTACAGCACAACAATGCTGTTTGAGTGGTTGAGTTGTACTTTAATATTTGGTCTACAACCTTGGACGTTTATCATGGTTTGCCCTTCCTCAATTATTGACCCTTTTACACTTTGTGCTCATGCTGATTATACCTTTGATCCAATGATGATTTATTGTCCTAGAATCAGATGTTTATCTGATGGATACAAGGATCTTAATGTAATTTGAAGAGCTATATTCCATTTCTTTTTTGTTGTTTTACTGTGTTCTCTCTTGATTGCTCCTACTTTCAGGACGTTCTTGCCCGACTGCCTAAACGCAGTATCACCCTTGTCTTCACCAGTCTTGGTTTCGCCATTCATCCTTTTACTTCATACCTAGTTAGAAAGAATATTACAGTCAAGGACTCTTACACTATCACGTCTTTATAAGACATCATACAGCATATGCCTGGAATCTGACCTCTTGCCTTCGCTTTATTCAAGACTCGATTTGGTGTGATCACTAGAAAATTCCTTGAAAACAAAGATTTTGCACATCGTGTCAACTTTGCTCGGTGATCAAATTCGAACTCGCTGATCACTTCAGGGTTTTGTTGATCGTATCCTTCCTGAACAAAGATCGATGTTGCGTCAACGCCGTAGCTGTGTTTTTCACCCCCGAACCACTCCATTGATTATAGCCTGATGAGACTTACAAGCAATGGTTCAAGTTGTAAAACAATTTTGAAGCGTGGTCGAGTACAATTGGACTGTAATAAGATGTCAGTTCGTTAAGGAGGTAAAGCTTCTTTCAAAAGTTCAAGAAGAAGACCTGAGAAGACCCGCTCAATGGCGCGTCTGTCTGTGTGCAGCGCGGCCAAGGTTTGGCAAATCGGGGTTTTCTCAAGAGAAGCACTCGATTGAGTTTAGCAAATCGGCGACTTTACAATTCACGATTCAACAAACATTCAGTCTTTTCGACGCAGGAACAAGTGAGTGAGCTACCTAAGGTCTCTCGCCTTCTCAGCTGTTGTCTCCTCCAGAATTCGTAGCTTGCTCCCAGATCTTTGATTCGCGCTGCCCGATGGTCCAATATGGAGTCAGTGTCTTTGCTTGAACTGATTGGGTGGAGCTCACACTCATCAACATTGCGGATGGCCTTCTTACATACGTCCACGAATCCGTGCGGGGTCATTCCTTCACTCTCGCGTTTCTTTTGACAATCAATGCGGGTCTTGCATGAAAACCGATTTCCGTCGACTCTGTCTGCTTTGATTGGCCTAGATGTTCACTTGCGAGCATGCTCTCCTGAACGTTGAGTCTTTCGCTATCAATGCAGAGTTTACGCTTAGACCCCTTGGAGTTACCTCGCTACACCGGCCTCACCGACTCATATATCTGGAGCTTCGTTCGCAAACACACTGGCCTTTCTTATCTTTGAGTCAATTCTTGAGAATCAAATTCAATTTTGGCATGTAAAGCCGTCGGAGTGCATCAAACAATCTCACTATCTCAAGCCTTTTTTTAATTTCACCAGTCATTCGATCCATAAAGAGATCCATAAACTCCTTCGAATATCTACTTTAATATCTACATACTTTAATTTCCGCATTCTGATTCTTCAAGCATTCTTCACTTTCTTATATACTTCCTGATTTTTTGCCAGGTCGTCCTGGGCTTCTCAAATAACATATTATCTATTTCATTTGCTTCCGTCCAGATTTTACATTCGTTCAATTCACTCTTTTCACATTCGAGGATTTTGCATTCCCTCTAGACAATCATTCTTTGCACATTTCAAGAAAACTACAAAAATCATCATATATTTCAATCGGCAACATGCGCACTAACGCAGTCAACGCGTTAACCTTGCTTTTATCTACTTCCGGACTTGTGTCGGCTCAGTATATAGCACCTACCCCTACTACCTCGGGATATAGCCCTGCGACTGTATCAGGACGACCAACTGCGAATGACATGAGTGCACCCAAGGTGGTGGCAGCTCAGGTCAAGTCAGATGCTCATTCAGCCATCGAGGCATTTGCTGGAGCAGTCACGGCCTCAGCGGGAAGTTCCACCACTCAATCGTCTCGTGAAACAGCTCAGCTATTCCAGAATATTGTGAAAGGCGGTAAGATCGCGTCTTTCCCATCGTGTCACTTCTATAGCAGGATGTCATCACTAATTTCGCATTATGGATTTGAATCTTGTAGCGATTGCTTATCCATTGAACCAAAACATCGGCTCTAGCGCTGCTCCGTCTCAAGAACGTTTGAATGCGATGGCGGATGCAATTAACAAAACCCTCAACAGCATACAAGACACTGCGACGAAGATTCTTTCCTCCAGTCAGGGTGCTTTACACTTTAACGACTTGAAAGACTGTATTGGTGGGCTGGTTCAGCAGGGAGGTCTGCACGACGGGGAAAGCTGTGTAGTGGTAAGTTCAAAGTGTTCTCTCTTGCCTGATGACCTCGTCCATTTGTCTTACTTTCCTGATGGTCGGATCCATCTAGAACGGCATGTCGGTAACTGGAGTGTCTAACGTGAGTCTTGATCATCTGAATCAAACCGAAACCAGGATATCGTGCTGACTGTTGCTATAATTTCTCAGCTTATGTCTAGTGTGCTTAAGACGTTTGGAGGGAACGGGATTCCTCAATCTATCTTACACGATGCTTCCAAGGCACTAGATCCTAGTTTCACAGCTGTGCTTCCCGGCGAGCAGAAATTTTACGATTCAGTCAACAACGCTATCACCTCTGTTCAAGCTAGCGTGAGCGGACAGCTCGTAGCAGCCTTGAACGACGCTCAAAATTGTTTCCAAGATGCCATGAAGAGTGATGCTAGCTACCCGGACAAGATGAAAGCTACTCAGAACTGTATGCGCTCCCCTACTGGCAAATCAACGTACAATGACTTGAAGACACTTTACCTCTCCGTCACCAACCAGGTAAGTCGTCTTCTGACCCACCATATGGACAGACTCAAACTAATGTTTTTTCGTTGGCCATAATTCACAGTTTGTTGGTTATCTGCAACCAAATATCCTTGATTCTATTCACACTATTGCCGACAATTATTTGAATACAAGCTCTCAAACCGATAATGACAAATACTTCCGCGATGCCATTGCTCAGAGTACATCTTCGATTGTCGCGTCCAACGCTGGAAACCAAGTTTGTATCCTGCCTTTTCAAGCCTTTCATCATGTTGATATCCGTCTTAACTCCGTTCTTTGATCATCTCACAGGTCACTTATGCATACAAGATCGCAGACTGTCTTGACACTTTGGTTGGAACCACCAGCCCTACTTCAGCCGCCAACATTGCCGCCACCCATAACTGTCTAACAAAGGTACGCCCCTCTCTTATCTTCGAAACTCGCACTAATCTAACAACTTATACTGCTCTGTCAGCCAAACGGCCCCGCGGCATCAGTCAAGGAAATTGTCTATGGATACATTCAACAAGTGCGCGTCTGTCAGGTCTTTCCTGTCGAGTATCAAACTGATTTGCTCTTTTCCAGATGTACGGAGTCTTGCCAGCCTCATTAGCAGCCAAAATTGAATCTAGCGGTGTACAAAACCTAGACCCTAAAGATCCAAATTACGCTTCCAAGGTTCAAGCTCTTCATGAGACTTTTGAGAAGACTAATGTGGGACCTGAATACGTCACTTGTTACGAAGCATTTGTGGATTGCTTGTTCGATGCCTCCAACGGAGCGCTCGAACACCCGGGTAACACTCAACAGGCTTGTCTTCTTGGTGACTCTTGCAAGACTACTCCAGATGGTAAAAAGAATTTGGCAGTACCTATCGGTCGTCGTGCGCTCGCAGCTCATCACATCCGCTCGGTTCCACAACAAGCTCGAGTTGTACGAAGGTACACAAGTAGCTCGAATCAGCACTATCTTCTCGATAGCTTTGCCGCAATCATGAAGCCAGTTCGTTGATAGATCTTTAAGAAGCTTTTGGTTTCCAATTATCATAGTCTAAGCATGTTGTCTGATAGCTTGGTTGTCGATTCTTCATACCATCATACATGTATTCTTCTTTGTCGCTCTTTACATTTTTCTTCGATTTGTGCAGTTGCGAACATTCAAGAAGGCAGTCTCTTCTGCTTATACAGACTTTTTTTGTGAATAGCTTACTTTTTGTTTTGTGTTTCTCTTTGGTATAATTGTTGTGAAGCGACTTACATCTTTTTCTTTGGTTTGCTCTGATATGAGTTTGATAATTGACATTTGAGTTGTCTTATTTCGAGTTGAGCATATGTCTTGAGCAAAAGCAAGGGAGGAGGCCTAAAGCAGCTTCTCGTACAAATTTAATTTTGTCTTTCAATCAAATTTTATGCAACGAATTAAGTTCATATATCATTATCGTACATTTCATATGCTTTGAGAACAAGGTCAATCAACTCAGTTTCTTTGGCTTATAACAAAAAACCATCTATAAGCTAATAATTATTTGACAAAACACATCTTAACAGTCTCGGAGGAAAATGAAAACACCATTCGAACGCAATCCACTGACTACAAAGAACGCTTCATAAAACTTAACTACTCAAGATTTAAACCAATGCCACGTAAAAAAAGAACAAACAATTATCCGAAACTCTTTAATGCTATACTAGGAGAAATACTTGCTGGATTAGTAGATGTTGACTTCAAAGTAGATTGGATCGATCCTCTTAATGCGTTCTCTAAACAAGTCCTTTGATCGGCTTCTAAAGCATTAGTAGCTTCTTTAAATGCTATTGCATCTAAAGAAGCAAGCGATAGAATGTGTTGTACTGCGATCGGTCGAATGCTCAAGCTCGATTCTGAAAGAAGCATCAAGTAAACCGGCAAAAAGATTGACATCGTTTGTGGCCCTACAAGTAGGTTTTGATCATTAGCACTCTCTTGTCATATGTAATAAGCTTGAGTCAACATGAAAGAAATTCTGTGCTCACTCTGCTCTACCTGCACAAATGACAAGATACCACTGAACGTCTTCAATACCTCGGAGATCATACCCAGATGTGCAGGCTTGATCTCACTTTGACCGGCAAGTTTGGCCAGGAAATCAATCAATGCTGGTAACAGTTGGGTGAGTGAAACTTGAAGAACGCCTGAGACTCGACTCTTAGTCAGTATTAAGGATTTGGCGCAATGAAGTGCCGTGGTAGCAGTCTATTGAAGCAAGAATTACACGTGAATCAGCCAAATCTTCTTGAAAGTTTTCCAAACTGGGAACGTACCTCCTGTTCATCTGACATTATGTTGGCCGTGATCAACGAACAACAATGCTCTAACGCTGTTCTTGAGACTTTCACACCAGAAGGTAAGCTGGTGAAAATCAACACGCAAGCCAACAAATTGTTTCGAGAACTGGTCTGCGAGGTTGTCTCTTGCCTGTAAGTGCATATTGTCAGATACAAGCTTGGGTGTGTATGCGGTAGAATAAGTACCATACCTCGTATCCTCGACCGCTTGAAGTGCTTGTGAAAGTAAGCCATGAAGCACACTTGATAGAATTTCAGATTCTGGGCCATCCCGCTTTGAAGCAAATCCCCGCTCAACAAGAGTTTTCAATGCGGGTAGGACAGGCCCTACAAGATCAATACCCGTCGTCCGATCCTTCAAGATCTCTGGTGGTCGCCCAAATCATATATCTGAAAATCAACGGATGTTCATGATACCAAGATCGGATAAAGAGAGACGTACCACTGAAGAGACCGAGAGCCACACCATAAATGCGATCTCGACTTTCTGGTTGACTGCGATCAGCTAGATCTGCGCAAGCACTGAAAGCGGAGATGACCAGGGCAGCATGATGGGCAGGAGCTTTCCGGGCTGAAGATGCAACCGTCAGACCATCGTTGAGATGTAAACTGATCAGCAGGCAATGCGTAGTGACGTACCTCTGGAGGCAGCCATAGAAGACATGGAAGGTATGGCATTCTTCAACAGTTGTATTATGACTCGCAGACATTGATTCACCTGCAACCTACCAAACATGCAGCGGCCTGCTGAAGTAAGTCACGAGGGCTTTGAGCCAAAGGGGAAGATGCGATAACGTACGCAGTATCAGGTTCATTTGCCTTGTTTGAAGGTCCCAAACAGCCGAGTCCAAGCTGTAGGATGCATCGAACTACTAGCACCTGTGTCCGAGCAGTCTCCGTGGCAGCCAATCGATAACACAAATTGCATATCTCGCCGAACACCGCGCTGTCTTTTTGAAGGCCATGGATACCGGCGACTTCGCTCTGTAGCAATGCCTCCAATGCTATGAGCGATGTTTCCATCACCTGTGCCGCAGATGACGCCGGGTCATCTGTGCCAGCCGATGCGGTCAGGGCTGCAGCTTCGTAAACTAAGCCAAGCAGAACGTGGAAGTACATCGCAGGCTCGTCACGTGATTCTAGCGAGTTTGTGGTCGGTTCAGTAGTTGCTTTTTCTGTGTCGGATATATCTGCTCCATCAAGGGCCCGAAGGATGAATGGCTCTTTAGCTTTGATTAGATAAGCGGTCGCTCTCATCATCTTGAGCCAAGCACTTTCATAATACTGCAAAAGTCTATCGTCAGCCGTCATACATTCACCGCAAGATAATTAAGCTGAACTGACTGGTAGCCATATTTCACGAGTAAACCCTCCCTGCATCGCATCGAAAGGATTAGAATGACTACTACCGGTAGACGAGGCTTCTTCATCTGATTTCAAGCGAGCATATTCTCGCAAGGATGCCACCCAAAGCGGGCAAAGTAATGCCAGATGTGGCTTGATAACATCACATAGATAGTTTTGTTTAACCGAGGTCACTTGGAATTCAGCCCAAGCCGCATAGACAGCTGTCTTGATCATTACCGACGCCGTAGAGCTGAGTTCCTTCATCTCGCCCAGTGAAATGATTTCAGTGTCTATATCGATTTTTATGAAAGCACTTTAGAAACTATATTTGTCTGTGATGAAAGTTTAGGACCACCAACCTCGACAGCTTTCTAGAGCAGATGTCAGTAGCTTTAGCATTCTACCCATCTTGTCTATCTCTTTCACAACTCCAGATCCAACAAATACCGCGCAAACTTGAATTGCTGAGGCCAAGACTTCAGGAAAGGAGTCATGTGAAAAGGCGGGAGTCAGCGCGGCAGCGATTGGAGCTTGATGTTGTTCAAGTAAAGGTGCTTCATCGAAGTCTAGATCGGATGAGTATTTGAAGTTCTGGAGACCCATTCTTAGCATCGACATCCTATGACACAGAACCTTCCTATAAAAAATTCACTCACTTCGATCACGTCTCTCAGGACATTTAGTCCTTCCAATCGGATCTCCATGATGCTCGCTGTACTCGCTGTGAAAGCCATCTTGATCAGATCAGATACTCGGCTGATCATGAGAGATCGAAAGTTGCTCAATCCTTTGGATCTAGCTATTTGTGCACTGAAGTGTTCAGTTTTCTTACTTCGAATCAAAGTCAAGAAGACTTCATGAAGGCATTGCAAAGCAAACAATTGTGTTCTCCAACGTGAGTTCGTGCGAGCTTTGTTAGCGCCAGGACCCCCATTGTCTTCTAAATCTAATCCTTGAGACTCTTCATCTATAAATGCACCCACCGCACCTTCCTCCTCAACAGCTTTCACTTGGGCGGTAGTACTTCTTGATACGATTCTCATACATAGATCAATCCAGGCCGTTGGATTGGAATCAGCTGTCTGTCTAAGCCAGCTTTTGATCGAATCACGGACTCCTTCAATGGTAGGATCCTCATCTAGAATCGAGAACAAATTTACCACCAGCCGGTCACCCCCGATTTTCGACATCAGAGCAGCATTCTTTTGTACCAATTGATAAATGGAATTAATTGAAGCGACTTTCAACGTTCGACGATTGGAAGACAAGTGTTTGCGCAGAGTTTGAATCAGCTGTGTTAAGTTGATTGACTCGATAGAGAACATCACAAAGTGTTGAATCGACTTCAAGGCCTCAACCTTGATGCCATCATCTGTTTCTTCGTTTAACTCTTCATTCAACAATTGTAACAAAATCTTGGCTTGACCGCAACTTGACAGTTCAGGCCCCAAAACTCCAATGACCGCATTAAGTATCTTGCAGAAATTTTGATAGGTTGGCAAATTACCCCGAATATTGACGTATCCAGTCGAACCAGATTCAAGCTCGTGACTGTCGGTACAGTACAGCTTCACGACCACGCCAAGGGTCGAGTTCAAGAATGGTGAGTATGATAAGCCTGCGGTATGGATGACTTCTGATAACGCTTTCAGTGCCCAGAAGTGTACCAAAGGGTGCGGATCTGCACTAAGCGACATCAGAATATCCACAACGGTCTTGAGGACCACGCCAGCCGATAGAGACCCGACTTGGGTATAAATTTGACTGAAACACAGCGCATAGCCTGATCGTGAATGCGGGTCGGTGTTATTGACGATTTGCGTGACGCAGTGTTGAATTTGATTCACCATGAAAGTATTCCCGGCTAGTGCACATACTCTTCCAAACGCTTCTGCGGAAGCCGCTCGGGTCCGTGAGTCCACATGAACGAGACCTTCTTTGAGAACATCTTTCATGAGAGATGCGACTGAAGGATCGATAGCTTTTGATTTGCCCGTGTAACCGGAAGACATGCATGTCCGGGTTGACAATAAAAATGCAGTGATAGAATTGGCCAAGATTGCCATCTTTCGACCAGGATTTTTCTCGAGTTTCATGGAAGTGACGTGATTGTAAAGTTTTTCTAGGATCGCCATTTGTTGCTTCGTGTTGACGAGCGGCAAGTAAAGAGCAAATAGTTCTATGGCAGAATCAATCATAGAGGTGGCTATAGGTGGCGCAGGTAGCATCGTCTCATGACCCATGATACCGATCGGTCCATCGAGTGTTTTCGGAGTGCAAAGGACCAGAAAATCGTGTTCATTGCTTTCGATCGAAGATTGATGCAAAACTGACTCGATGGCTACATCGGTCAAGTCGCGATTTAGCCAATCACTGACCAAGCCTCTATCTCCACCAGCCGATGCGGAGGTCTCGCTACTTTCGCCGATGCTTTCATTTTCTTTCAAAAGGCCAGTGACTCCGAAACCGAAGCCGTCATTAGAATCCCATACACTAGTAAAACTTCCGGTACTAGCACTGATCGCTGCTTGAACAGATGAGCCGGTGTACTTCTCAGGATCCGCCATAAGAGACAAGGTCATGTCCAACAAGCTGATCTGATGGGCCTCAGCTGACGTCATCGAAATCTTACTAAGCGCATTAAAACATTGAAACACTCTTCTACGCATCAGGAAATCTCGGTCAATCAAGTTCATCTTTGAACTCGCAAAAGGAGCTTGTTCGTGTTCAGGTTGTAGATACTTCTTCTCAAAGTCACCCAAGAAAGCTAATGCGTTATTCAACATCACTACAATCCTTCGAGCAACGTCGAGTGTGACAAGCTTGTCGCCATCATGTTTCAAGAAATTTAGAATTGCACCAAGAGTACATTCTCGAATATGAAGCAGGAACCCCCAATCTGCGTCACTTCGAAACTGATTGTTGGTAGCATCTTTTGCCATCGGTTTGGGTAAAGCATTCTTCCAAAGGATTAACAATTGCGAGAGGTGTAATTTGACAAAGTTGGGGCCTAATGATGTTAGCGCGCTGACTAAGATCCAGGACACCTGGATTTCGAAGGCTGAAATTTTCAAGGAGTGACTTCCACATTGTTTCAGTAGCTGAATGGCGACAGACATCACTTTGGAAGAAACATCAAACGAAACATATAAGGGCCTCAAAGATATCACGCTCATTAATCCAGCTAGTCCATGTGCATGGCCAATCGCCCTTTTGTTGGTATCTGGTGGTGCAGCAGGATTCGAAAGTTGCGCCAGATCTTTGTTGAGTAACTCTAAGGTGTGAGTGATCGTGTTGGTAAGCTTGATGGGCGCGACATAGCAGTAAGTCCTCAGACACAAGGCCGCTGCGACCTGAACCGAGTATGATGGATGACCAAGTAATCGTATTAAAGGATTGTATAAAACCTCTTGAATAGGGAGCGTTGCGCTGCCGACTTGTTTCAACAAATTTGCGACTTCGTTTAAAGCGATCACCAGAGAATATTTACTGGGAGGTTGTTGGGTGGGCATCAACGCTGGCCATTTGTTTAGTATAGAAGAGGAAATCTCTCTAATCGCCACGACTTGACCCTGCTCAGAGAGTAGACGAACAGAAATGATATCACGCAGGAGTACGCTCGCCATCTTTCTAGAGATCAGAGTTTCGTGTCGAAGGACAGCTGGAGTGAGGCTAGATGATTGTGGGGGCCTCCAACATCCAATGTCATTGATGATATGCTGTAATATCTCGGGGTATTGCTGTTCGACCCAGGTAGATCCAAGGAGCGTCAATAAGGCCCCGTATGCATCGATGAGTCCCAGTCTAGTCCGTCGAGTGGTAGAAGGTTTGGAGTACGGCGTACTAAGGAGAGCTAGCATTTCTTCAGGTTTGAGTAATGTCTTGCCTTTCTCTTCCGCAGTCATCGAATTCGGATAAGGGTCATCCTCTTTCATCTCCGATCCATCCTTCTTTTTCTTAGACTTGGCGGAAGCGCTCATTTGATTGGTAGCATTTGCAGCTGAACCAGCGATCTGAGTGGAGGCCAATAGGTTGGCGATCAGTCTCGAGAGTGATCGGCGAGTGACAAAGTCTACAGTATCCAGGCCCTTGACACAAATCGTAAGATAACTTTCAATATCGCTCATTGAACTCAAAAGGTCAGAGGATCTATCTGATAAAGTTAGAAGACATTCGACCGTCCCTCTGATGATCGAGTACGTTTTGTCTGCAAGGGTAGCTCGAAGTGTCTTGAGGACGTCCTTTGCAAGATTATCTGAGGAAGTGAGAGTTTTCGAGCCGATGATGAGTGCTGAGTTCAAGCAGTGAAGAGCTTGATATCTTAGTATGGGTGGCTTGCGTAAATAAAGACCTCAAACGACCAATAAGTAAGGAAAAGAAAAGGAAACTGTGTGATGTGGATGACGGATTAAAAAATGTAGAAAATTACTCACGGAAGAGCTTGCTTTGATAACCTTTAGTGATGTCAATACACTTTCAGCAAACTGAGACATCACTTGTGAACCGTGAACCTTCATGATCTCCCCTGCAACATAAAAGCAAGATCTGAGAAAGGGGCGATCGATTTGGTCAAAAACTGGAGTCACGATCAAAAATCTGGAGCAAGACCCTAGTACTCACACACGGTACGATCTATTTTCGAGGGTCACTTTTGAGGGTTCTGTGCCAGCTACCCTCAACAGATTTCCTACTACGTCGAAAAGTGTTCTTTGCTCTGCTCGATCAACTGTGAAGACCTCGGTATCTCATTAGAGTTGAGATGTACACCATGTTCGTAGAGAATGATGCCCACATAATTTCACCAATATCCTTGCAATAATATTCCTTATAGGCCTTCCAGGTGGTGGAGCGGGTCGAGATGTAGGGGCAATAAAAGTGAGCAACCGAACTAGATCGGATTCGATTTGAGTTTGAGAAGCTCTGAGTGCATCCTATGATAGAAGGGGTAAAGCTTGAGTCTCGATGCGGTTTTCAAATTGAGAAGACGGGCATCCTATTCACCTCATCTGATGCGTCAAGATCGTTTTGAAGTTTGTGCAGCCATTGTAGAAGCCAGACCTCTCCTCGATCGGCCACCGTGGCAGCTGCGAGGTCATCGAGATCCAAGGCTTCAAGTGATGGTTTCGTTTCTTTTTCGGGAGTTTCTACCATTGCCCAATTGAGTTAATGTGCGATTCGAAGAGAGGTTGATAGAGAAATGAAGTTGACTGAGTTTGTGATGAAGTTGAGAATATGGATTGGCAGCAGATGGTGACTGAAGTTGAAATGGAAAGTTGACACGAGTTTCACAGATTTCAAATTGACATGACACCACATCAATGGCTGAATTCTATAAATTGCTCGCCACTTCTCCTGAAGATAAACCCTCATGATCACACCTTGAAGGTCCATGTGAATACAATGCCGTCAGAATGAGTATACTACAAACTCTTTAATTCTTCAAAAAAAAGCTCAGCTTTAGGTGGGAAATGAATATCACACTCCAATGGGCAAGTTAGGGCAAGTCTGTAAGGCAAAGGTTTGAAGACGCCATGACAAGGTTTGAATTGAGAGACAGTCGCCAATCATGTTCTCGGATATATATAATTCTATCATTAGGTGTGGGTAATGGTTTGCACGCAGATGATGGCAGATAGTGGAATCTATCATCCGGTAGGTTTTTTACAGATTTCGCAATCACATCAAGAAAGTCCTCGACTTCATTCCATATATGCTCCGAACACAAGCAATAAAAAAGCCCAAGAGATGTACGCCAACAAGCAGGTTGAAGTTACACTGACCAAACCTGGGCGGAGTAAGGTTCCCAGTCTGATTTTGTATCTTTGCGAACTCGCCACATCATGCTGATTTCGAGTTCACGTCCGTTGTCGGGCTGGACGGACCATGTTGTGACCCCCTCTAGCTCAGTGTCTACAAATCCCACACAAATCGACATTCAGCATCAGGCATTTAACACACCAGTCGTGATTGAACAAAAGTGAAAGACAAACCGGCTGTGACATCAAATGGTTGTTTCAATAAAAGTAAAGTTTGATGCCAATGTGTTGAGGTGGCTCTAGCACTAGTCGAAAATCCAACTTCACCTTCACTTTTCGTCCAATTATGGTCATCTTCCAGGGCAAGGCCTTCAACAAGTCGGCCATCAGTAGTAAAAAAGGTATCAAACCAGATCAAGAAACCATTGAACTTTTGATTTGCTTTCAATTGATCACGAAACCGGAGGGTAAACGGCTTAGCGAACGAGATACAGTCCTTGAGCTCAGATGACATTGTGGCTGTGTGCACATCTCGTAGACAGGTAGATTGAGTCAAAATACCGTCAGATGGAAAGTCCTCGATGAGACCCTCTTCATACATGCGTTTCGTCATCGACTCGCGCATCTTAAATCCATATTTATTTTCATCCCACCAAGATACTTTTTCTTTCAGCCAAGTCTCATCACTCCAGCCAGCCATCAAGATCGAACATTGAGAGGGTGCCATGAGACCTCCGGAATCGACTGACCGTAAGAATCGATCTCGTGCTATGAGTACTGAAGGTAAAAAGACTTCATACAAGCATGCATAACCCATCCACTCTGAAATGATGATATCGACCTTTTCACCATCTAAATCACGTTCAATATCTAAAGTTTCAACCTTTTTGTTCAAGACCTTTACAACATCCGAAATTCCGTTGGCTTTCATATTCATAACTGCATTCTTGGCGATCTGACTTGCATCAACTGCATATACTTTTTTAGCTCCAGCTTGAGCAGCAAAGAATGATAAAATTCCTGTTCCACATCCGATGTCCATGACTCGCTTGTTATGAAATAGGTCTGGATTGGAGGTGATGAAATGCCTGTATGAGTCGGTGCGTACTTGATCCTGAATCATCGTCCAATGGATACCTTCGTGAGCGTAACTAGAGAAGTAGTGAGTGTCGTCGTCTCGCTCTGCTTTAGGCTCTGTCGAATCAGCGGTGGTACGGGTGTCCTCGAGCAAAGAGCTGGTGTCTCCGAATAATTTCCGTACTCGGGCATGGTCTTGTCCTAGTTGCTCGAGCTGGATACGCAGCCGTTCAACTTCCAACTGGGAAGCGATGTGCCCATTTGCCGCGATGCGACCATCAGAGGCAGATACCACTTGATCAGCCATTGGTGAAAATTCCGCCTGGTCGGTCTGTTCATCCTCAAAATCGTATTCTAAGACATTAAATAAATCAATCTTCTGGGAGACTGGATAATTTCGGGACCAAAAGCATAAAGAAATGATTGCCTACGTAGCATTCCATCCTCGGGAAGACGAGGGATAAGCCATTCATGAGATTCATCAAGCAACCAACTCTCTTTTCCAGTCAAACTGTTCAATTCCACTTTAGTTCTTCCGAAATCATTTCCTGAACGAATCCAGTTGATAAGCTTGATACGACCGATACAATCCAAACAAAGTCGTTTGATCAAAGCTTTGATACAAAAATTGTGTTTGCGGATGTCATGTTCGAAAGCTTCTTCGACTGATGATAATTTTGAGGTTGGGTGGATCAATGAATAAGTCGGTGTGCTGATATCTTCTTGCCAATCGTCCCATTCATTGTTCTCTTCGCCCCCATCTTCAGATTCACTCTGTGATTCAACATCGCTGTCAAGGTCGATCTCGAAACGGGTCGCTCGGTCACTTGGACCTGCAATCATGGAATCTTGTGTCGGTTTGGCATTCTCTGCATTGGAGGAGGTGTGAGGTTGTGTCATATTTCTTGTAGAAGCTGTGCAACAATGCGCGTTCTTGGAAAAAGTTTTGAGCTGTATGTATGCGTTACATGTGCAACCGCATGTGAAAGACGTGGGCAGACACTTCTGCGCAGCAGCTCACACCAAGATACCTCAAAATACTTTAATAGCACTTTCCTTGGACAGTTCACCACTCTGCACCTACCCAGAAATGTTCTATATTTCGAAGAAAAAGACGAATGAGGCAGGAAATTTTGGTCCTTCAGTTTTGTAAAGCTACTTACAATACTTTGCTTAACCCCAAAGCAAAGAATAATCTCAAATCTCAGGGAAATAGAAGGAAATTTTAGAGAAAAGGTTCAAATTCCATTGCTCAATCAAATTACAATTTCGAAACGAAACAAATGGATGTGTATTCTGGAATCATATAAGGAGATCTAACTAATGAAAAGGTCGTGAAATCCAGTAAGAATGACAGGAAGACCAGAATGAAAGAAGTAGAAAAGAAGAAAATAAACACACAAATTCTCTGGGGTGCCTCAATTTCAAAACCTTACATAATCAAAATAACATTATTGTACATCCCATGCTTCTGGGAAATGAAAGCCATGATAAAGGTAAAAAGATGATGCTATGAAGGTACAACCTTTTCCAAAGTGATGTTCAAAGAGTGACCTGGTGCAGATGGGGAACTTACCTTCACTCATATTTTCTTTTTGACTACCTTACAAACCACAGCAATACTGAATACATGGTATATGACTATCAGATGATTTTAGCCCTTCTAGTAAACTGGTATTTTTCTCATGAGGACAACAGTAAAGATGGTGAAGAAACCTTGGACACTGAAATTAAAGAAAATATATCTCAAAGAAAAGTGTTCCGTGATAGACATGGTAATCATACAACATTTACACAATACCATCCTAGGTCTCCGCAACATAGGCAATGACTGGATCTAGCTGATGATAGAAGTTGAGATAGTATCATTTTTTAAATCTGTCAAACAGTCATCCAAAACTGAGTTTGAAATGAATGGGTATGAGAAAACATCAAAGGATTCCACTTTTGATATCACCTGTGCTATCATTGCACAAGCAGAGCAGAAAAATGCTTCTACCTGCTTTTTGGGCGTCTTTTGAGCATCAATGGATAGAGATAGGAACTGAGATTTGGAATGGAAAAGGCATGGATGTTCATGAAAAAGATACACGAAAGATGGTCAGCAGTTGTTTCAAATAAAATTTATGTAGAGATATACAGTAAACTACTGGAAGTCACATTCATACCAACGCTCGGATCTCAACGTAATCCGCCGTAACGTTATGTAAAACCCATAACGTTACGGTCAACCGTATTAATTCTTAACCGTTCCGTAACGTTGTGGGGGAGCACCGTAGCAAAATGCTCACTTTGGTACGGTTGTGCCGTAATGAAGCGTACCGCGATGCCTATCTCAGGGCCAGATTTCGGTCGTCGCGGCCTATTCTATTAAAAATATGAAAAAAAAACAAAAAAAGATATGATAATGACCTCTTAACGAGAGACAAGAAAAGAAGTAAAATAATAGCAATACTCTTGAGAGAAAATAGATAAGAAAACATCAAAAGATGAGAAAGAAAGGCCACAAAACAGAAGAATATCATAAAAAGCACGAAAATACCAATTTTTTCTTCATGTTGTTGATTAAAGAAGTTAACAAGAAACGAGAAAAACAATTCGAAAAGAGAACGATTGATTGCGGGTAGTTGTAAGTAGTAGCAGACAACCCATCATCATCTTCTTCATATCTAGCTCTGGCCTCTCGGTGGCCTGAGAAAATGGGATTATTTGAGTTCCAGTTCCGATTCCGTATCTGTCCGGTGGCCAGGTTTTGAAAGATGTTGGGTCAAAAATCTGCTTGCCCGAGTGACTTGACATGACAGCAGAGATACGAGAGCTCGATCGTCCATCTGAGCTTTGGCTAGCTCCATTCGAACGTGGAGGTTGAATGAAATGATGAGGTAAACCAGGTCTCGGTCGACGTGAATAGGATTGAGGTGGAGATGATTGAGAGTTTGTAAGGATCAATATGGTTTTGGAAGGCCCCTGCGTTGAGAAAATTGTGGGATGGTATCAGGAATGTGTGAGGTAATGGGTTAAGGGGAAAACCCTGTATGGAACCGTAGTCATAACAGATTTTGTCGCGGTTTACCGTAACGAAGTGGACCCGTAATCGTAATTGGGACCGTAACCGGGTTCTGACACTTGGCATTCCGGTACGGTGGTACCGTAGTGTCAAAAGGCGGAACGCGGTACGGCGCGGACCGTAACGTACCGTACCGCTGACCGTAATGACTTCGCTGAGGTCCGAGCGTTGTTCATACCACAAAAGCTCAGCTTTGGAAGATTCTGGCTCAGTGGTGTCATCCAGGGATGGATGTTTGGGTGGTGTATCATATGGTCCAATAATGAGATTGATAGGTAAAAAAACAACTCATGGAAGTAAGTAGTAAAGGTTTTTCATGGTCAGCAGCAAATCTCACATTGGTGTTTTGCACATTGGGTCTTGGCTCCAGAAAATCAGTATGGGAAGTATGGGTAATGCACCTCTGTTCTGTGTGTTTTGTCTATAATGCTTGGATGAAGGGGGCAAATAGATGTTTTGATGAACAAATAGTTGTAAAGATATTGCAACCACAAGGGGTGAACTGTCACTTCAGGGGAGAATACTGTTGAAAGATAGAAAGGCAGAGGAAGACCAGCTGAAAATTTGATCTCATCATCTTTCAACATAAGTGAAAGTTTGCAAAGATCCCTTTCTGATATGATAGAGATAGTAAGATAATGAAGATTTGCCATCATTGGGTGCTTCCAATGAAAGTTTGTAGATTGGGTGACTCCAATGAAAGTTTGCAGATTGGTTTTTAGCCAATCTGCTCTACAATTTTATGGTCCAGAGGTGTAAGCTTAGAGATTTGAAAAAAGGACACTCTGATATTTCATCCACATACATACATGAGCTGATCACAAGTGTTCAAAATAAGGGCACCTTTATAAAGTGTCCTTTGGGATGACTGGCGCTTCAGGAAAAGGTTGCATAAGTATGGAAATCCTTTGATTTCAACCCAAGATGGGATGACATAAATGGTGTTATCCTAAATAAACTCAAAGCAACAAGATATCAAGGCAATCACATGTGTCCACACACTTCAAGACATTGTGTCTGAAAGGTACAATGCTACCCCTGTCTAGCAGGCTCAATGAAAACCTCCATTAACAAATTATACACAAAAGAGAACAATTACATTCCTTGTCATATCAACATTGACATGATTAATTCCCACTTCTCAAATCAATTATACCATCGTGTCTCTATTAAAATGCCTGTGTATGAGCCACAAAAACACACAGAAAATGTAGCTAACAGAAAGATGAATTTCACATATCACCAAACAAGATATCATTGAACTAGATTCAAGTCAAGCTCTTGTTGATGTCAAACAAAATTGAAAACTCTTATCGAGTCTTTCTATTAATTAACAACTGTCCTACAAAGTTATACACAGCATTGAATATGGTAATTATGGGATCCAAATAGTGTCTAGTCAACTAGGAAATAAGGATACCTGTATCCTCAAACTACCAAGGCCAGAATGGGAATCATGAAAACGAAAAAGTACTTTGAATGATCAAAGTTAAATCTACAGCTAGGAGCACCAGAGCTAAGTAAGAAAGTGCTCAAGACAGCACTATTCTTGGATTTTATTCTATTTGATTCGGCTTTTTGTAAATCAGCACATTTTGCCCTTGAATTACAACCTGATCCTTCTAGCTCCAAAAAGAACTTCTCTGGATCAATTCCTGTCGAAGAGGCAAACATGATCACATCGTATTTATCTTTAACACTGCAGTTAGGACATTTGCTCAAGACCTTGAGGATTGAATTATGTGATGATTCAAACAAATTTTGATCAATCAACAACAAGCAGCCGTCAGGAGCTGATCAACATTTATGAAGGTAGTGTGCAAAGAACTGACTGATGCGAGTTGAGTTTTGACCCGTGGGATATCCTGCTGGACCACCGCAACGTTCAATGACAAAAACTCTATGAGGCTTTTGAGAATAAAGCAAAGATTCAGAAATCATATCACCCAATCTCAAAGATCAACTTCAGACAATCATATTTACGCTTTCATTTGTGAGATAGCACCTTTGGGAGCCCTGGGCCCAATGCTACGTAAACCGACAATCATGCTCCCATAGAGTGTCATATAGATTGATAGCTTGTCCAGGGCGGTGTCTTTAGGAAGGTTCTTCGAGGGTGATAAATTTTGAAGCGCAAAAGGGACCGGAACCCAGCTTTTATCTGATTGATGATAATCAATGGAGGACTGTGATGGCAGGAAATATCGCCACGAAATTTGTTTCAATCAAACCCGTCTATCATCTAGGACAAGAAAGAAAGTCGAAAATGGTTACGCACATATGTCGTTCCCTGATACTTTAAGTCTGGTATAGGCGGAAAAGCTTGAGGCTGTAAGATGTAAATTGATCAGACCAGTTTCAACTTCATTTATTGTGGCATTCAATATCAAGCGCCGAACTCACGCCTTCAACGCATTCAATGTCGGGGTTTAGTCTTGAAGATTGCGGAATTGAATAATTGCCTGCAACATAGCAAGGTTTATCAGGGCCTGGGATGATCCCTTTTGCGGATGAGGTAGCTATTTTTATCATTCCAATGGAGGACCGTGTTTCGATATCATGAGCTTCGTTGTCATCACATCATGTCCTTTAATATCACGCTACATTTAGCAGAAAAATCACACGTACACGTTAAGAAAAGAGTAATGTAGAGAAAGAGGGATGGTATTGAGATTATTAAGAATCGAGAAGATGGCATTCTAGATATCGTCCTTGAAACAATTATCGATAACCCAACGGACGGCATCAGCTGATACGGAAATCAGCGCTTGACTAAGTGTGAAAGTGACATGCGAATGAATATCAACATGGCAAGTTTTTACTCTTTGAATGGTTTTGGGAATCACAGCTACTTACGCAAGCCGTTGAGTATCCTTGTTCTGGGCGAGAGAAATTTGAGTTGAAGGGCGAGGAAAATTGATAAATGATCCTCAAGAGGCCTGGTAGAGGAATTTTCCAAGGCGGCAGAGGCAGAGGCACTTTTTCCTCTCGCCGCCGTAGTCAGAAGTGGTATAAGTAGAAAAGGCTTCAAAAAGGTAAGCTATACTTGAGTATCATATCAGATTGCACTGCAAGTATGAGAAGATGACATTTCAAAAAGCCGAGCAAAATCATAAGACGAGAGGGGCACTCACATCGATTCAAACTGGTTGATCTGCCCAATTCATGCAAGGATGACTACAAGAAGAGGATAGGAAAATGTGTTCGGTAGGTGGGAGTCCCCCAGGTGATTAAAACAGATTTCGCAGCCTGCTACGAAAGAAGTGACCCCTTCACAACCCCTTCACATGCTTCATTACGATGGGAAATCCTCGATGAACTATTGGCTGCTAGACTACCGGAATCTAAGAGTGACTTTGTGGTCATTGTAGCATGTTCCGTGTGTCAGAGCGACCTTTGCATGATTTTCAATGGTTGCGAGCCAAACTGAATTCATGCTCGTATCAATGCGGCAGCAGGTACAAACGCACACATTTTTTGTACGGACTTTGAAAAGAATGGATGGCGCTTGGCCGCCTGTTGGATATGTGAAGCATATCACTCACTTCAGATTGATCATGGAATTGCCTGGTTGTCATAGTTCAGTGCTTGTGATCGAAACCTCTCGTGAACATTGACCATGATACTCAATATGCTCGGCGAAATAGACACGCGAGTGCCAATTTTACCCGTTGTCTGGAGGGCTCTATTCAACGGTGCAGAGCTGTGAGTCACGTTCAGGAGTTGAACACAAACCAACACCTTATTTTGTCAAGTGGACATGAAGGCGCTTGACTCGTGAGCGGAGTCTTCATATGTAACCGGAAAGCCATCATCCATGGCGATCACAAATGGCCAACAAAAGATGCGTTGCAGCAGGTTGAACTTGCAGAGCCACATTGTCGGCCCCCACTTACATATGTGAGTTGCTCCTCGTACATATGTAATTGACGACATGGAAACCTAGATAGGTTTAGGTTATCATATCCAATTGATGAGACTTAAGCAGTATCGGTAGCGCGAATCCAGCCCCGCGACCCCAGGAAACATTTGCTAGCATACGAATCTCAAGGTGAGCCTCAATCATACTGCTTCGTCAAGGCCATAGTGCTAACTTTCACTTTCGATCATACAATCCGATCAAGATGTCTGTTTCCCGAGTGCCCGCTGCCCTTGCCCCTACCGACGAAGATGTCAGCTTGCTCTTGGCCGCCCAGTAAGCTCATCAGATTATACAGTCGACCATGCATTAATGTGAACTACGAATGAATACGAACTACCAAACCTTTTTGATCAATTAGATGCCACATTGGAAGCAAGAACTGCTCCAAGGGTATGTTGCGATATGTCCACAAGCGTCGACCTGATGGTGTCAACGTGATCAACCTCAACTCCACCTGGGAAAAGTGTGAGTGGATCGTTGTTTTAGCCCACGGTTTTACCCTAACGATCATTCCTCTACATCATTGACACGCTCCAACTTCTTATTCTACATGTCCTCCAGTGATCATGGCCGCCAGAATCATTGTCGCCATCGAGAACCCCCACGATGTCTGTGTGATCTCTGCCCGTCCCTACGGTCATCGTGCTGTCCTCAAGTTTGCCTCCAGTACCGGTGCACAAGCTATCGCGGGACGCTTCACCCGTCAGTCCAGCCTACCCGCTTTCCCTCACACATTCAAACTGACATGACCTGCATCGCACATCTCATTGCATCACAGCCGGAAACTTCACCAATTACATCACCCGATCCTTCAAGGAACCTCGTTTGATTGTTGTCACCGACCCTCGTTTAGATGCCCAAGCTATCCGCGAGGCTTCTTACGTCAACATCCCTGTCATTGCTCTCTGTGATACCGATGCTGCTCTTAACTTCGTCGACGTCGCCATTCCAACCAACAACAAATCCAAGCACTCCATTGGATTGATCTGGTGGTTCTTGTGCCGCGAGGTTCTTCGTCTCCGAGGCTCATTCCCTCGATCAGGTGACGGAGCTTGGGCCGTTATGCCCGACATGTTCTTCTTCCGTGACCCTGAAGAGCTTGAGGCTGAGGCCCAAGAGAAAGCCAACAAACTTGCCGAAGAACAAGCTGCTGCCGCTGGGGGTGAGGCTCGTGCTGTTGACTGGGAAGTGACTGGCGCCGGTGCCGGTATTGCCAACGCTGCAGCAACCATGACCGGTGAGGTCGACTGGGCCGCTCCTGAAGCCACCACTGATTGGGGTAAGTTGTCTTGCACCAATGTTTCCTCGCCATCCTCCGAAACTGATTCCTGATTTCCGCATTTTCAGCTGCTGGTGACGCCGGTGATGCTGGTCAATGGTCTGCTGCTCCCGCTGAGCCTGCAGCTGCTGGAGTGAGTTCCTTAGTTTACAATCCGCTTTTGAAGACAGTGACTGATATTTCTTTACACAGGGATGGTAATCAACTAGCGAGCCGTCTAATTTCAAAAGTACAACGGACCCAGACATCAAAAAAACACAACGCGGCTGATTTCAAACTATTTGTATTTCTCCGTGCCTTGCATGTCCTGGCTACTTATTTAGAACCACATGTAGTGGAGCATTCACATAGTAGAAACTCCATTCGCCTGGTCGAGATTTAGCTAATCTCCATTTTCGTCACGCTGTGCATATATACCCGTCACGACGATGTACACCGAGAGACTTGAATGATGCTTGCTATTCTTCCACTTCTTAAATCAAGGCTACGTTGTCAAGCCTATACTGTTTTGAATCACTATTCTCCTGGTAAAGGTCACATTTCACACGTGCGCCTCCGTAACCCAATGTTGCCCAGATATGCAGGCATTGTGAGAATTTGCCGAAAACAGCTCACGGAGGTGAACAGTTTTTTTGCCACGACCCAAGAGACTTACAATGAGGAGTACCACATCCCATCGGCATAAGTCGACCATCAGCCTTTCAAGTTACAGTGGACTTCTGAAAACCTCACTGAGGTTTGCCCGCAAGATCCCAATGATTAGGTGCCAGATCCTTGTCAAGCTTTGTGAGATTGACTACCGTGCGTGGAGGGAATTTGCTGTCAGATTGAAATTTTGGCCTGCAACGATTGCTAGACCACAAAATTTATGGTCTCAACTAGCCAATCGAAGTTCTGAAAAATGCTCTCGTCAAGAGTATTTCCATGCATATCTTTCTAATATCAACTTTTTTTCCATGATTTGGAAGCATCTTCTTGGAGAAAAATTTGAAGTGTACTCATATCATGATTAATGTCGTCGGCATTCTCAGTTTAACTTTCACTCACGTCGCTAGAATTCCAATTCATTCCCGTCGCAGGGGCTTGAGGGCTCTTGAGTCTTCAGAGGGTGGGTGGCCGTCTCTATGTACGTGATCACTTCAGTCTTCAGCCAAGACCACGGGAAAAGTTAGATCTTTTCGAGATACGCCTCTGGTCGCATTCAAGCTAGCCGTCCGCACCCTCGAATCTTCCCGGACTTGCACGCGCCTTCCCATGCTTAAGTGCCACCAATGCTCAATAACGGCAACAGCTCAGAATCCAGAAGCTACCCTGATCCTAAAAAACTTTTTCTATAAGAGCTCGGATCCTACAAGGCTGCTCCCCGTTTCATCCCTCTGGTGCAAACCTGAATCATTTTGATTTTTTCCAAGTTGAAAGACCTCAATCAACATTCTTCTTCCTCTCTTACTATATTACTAATACCAGAATGCTCCACGTCTTTCTTAAGCTCTCCATTCTCCTCTTTTCCTTCTTGATTCATGATGTGTCAGGCGCTACTAGTACCAACGATCCTCCTCCGGTGATTCATTCGTGTAACACCAAGTTTAGGATACTCGGAGATAGAGCAGGTATGTGAGATCCTTAAAAATCATCATTCCTTTAGCCCTTCAGCATCGTCCGCGCTCAAGGCTAATCCAGACCATTTTTACGATCGCTCACGTTCAAAGAATGCACCGGAGCCGATGTTGTGCGTAACTGCGCGTATAAATCTTGCTGGCTTGCTGGTAAGTGGTTGAGACACTAATCTTGATTACCTTCAATGTTACAATCTTGTAGTAAAGCTCATCACACGCTGGATTTTGATTTATATACATTCATCTCAGGTCATCAATACATTCCAATGACTGAATGCAAGCTCGAAAAATCAACCGACAAAAGATTAAGTCATCAAGAATGTGCTCAATATGAATTCATAGACAGCGACCTGAGAGATGTTCATTTCAGTTAGTATCTTCAATTTCTCAACTGATTTATGGCTCAAAGAAATAGTGTCTTATTCAAGATTGTTCTGTTTCAAAACTATAAATCCAAAAATCCTCAGAGTGTAAGAATCCTGGTCTTGTAGATTATCTATGTGCTGATAATGCCAATAATATTGGTAAAGTCTTAGGTCAGTTCGATTTTGTTTATCCAATTTCAAAACAATTAAATTAACACAAACGACTTGATTTTCTTTCAGGATGTTCCGATTGTTATCCGTGATGAATGACTGCACAAAAACTCCAGTCCTTGCTCATCTTGTATCATTCCATCAAGAATATAAACAAAAATCGCTTTGAGAGTGGTTTTGTATGTTATGTACTTATTTATCAAGACCTTTTCAAATTTAAGCTTGCAAATAAAGGCAGCTTAAGATAATTGAGTGCTCACTTGAGAAAGTTCAAGCTGTCAGCTTTGTAAACAAGCTGTACACACTGATAGAGAGAAGTTAGAACAATCTGAGTGAGAAGGAAGATTGTCAAATAAACATATTTATGAGTTTGATAAGAAGAAAAGAATTGAACTTTGGAGTTTGCTCAGGTTTGCTTCACTTCAAAATCATAGGTGTCATGAACTAGTCATTTAATAATTTATCATATTCTTTTGAATCCAGCACAACATATGCACTCATGTGATGGGTGTGAGGTTGGGAAAAAAGATGTGTCTGGATGTGCCCGTGGGTGGTCAGGCATGCTCAGTTTTTGGCATGGGATGCAAGAGGGCGCAAAAGGTGCAATAATTAGGAGACAAAAATAGTTATTTTGAACAGGCCCTGGAATCACCTTCAACTAAAACAAGTATACTCCACAGAGCTCATTCCCATCCCAGATTCACCTTCAATAACTCTATGATCATCTCCGTCTTGGCTGATATGATCATCTGGTGTACAACCAAAAACACAGAGATAAAAGAGTCAATAAACAAGGCCATCATCAAGCAATCTCCACATGTAGGTCATGTTGTGCAAAAACCCTATCCTCAAATTCTTGCAGGTTGTCAAATCCCAAAAAAATGTCAGCATTGGATTCAACCTTGTAATATTCTGTAGTTATTTTGTCTAATTTCACATCTGCACAAGTAGTGTCTTCGGTTCTCAATCCAAGCTCAATCTGAGATATCATCTTTAGGTGTGTCACAGTCATATGATTACAATACTAGTAAGTAAATGCCATGTGAGTTGGGTAGGGAAGGGCACATGTGAAACAGATAAAACATAAGAAAGACACAGATCCACAAGTATCATAGCATCAGATGTCATGGGGCACACCCACCCAAATTTCGTAAAAAAAGATGTGCCCCTGTCCAGGGTCACCAAAATGGTGCCGCCCCCCACATGAATCTGCACACTCATGACCATCATAATGAATACATGTTGAATATGGCTTGTATCTCATACCCATTCTGTGAATCTGATCATTCAAAGTACTATATGATATTCTAGCATCTCAATATTCCTCAAACTCTTAAATGATTTCATGGTTTTTGTACTTGACCAGTATTTTAGGTGTAAAAGCTAAGACATAAGATCCAGTCAAACTTTCTCAATGGTTTGGACAAAGAAGGTAAAAAGAGAAAAATCCAACCCAGTTTACAAACTGTTTGTGTTGAAATCCAATCTGTTGTCATCTTTAGTACTGTTAGGTCATTTCAGATTGAAGGGTGAGGTATTGAGAGGCCTTGTTGTGATATAGACAACTGATTATAAACAATGAAATAACATGCGTGCTTTAAAATGAAAGCAGTGCAACCTGGTCTCAGAGCCAGTTGATCAGAGGTGTTTGCCTTTGAAGTAAAGGTGTTGCTGTAACCTCCATTGAAGCCTGCATCTCAGAACAACATTTGTTGGCAAGAAATTAGCATTTTTTGACAATGATTAAACTTGCAGAGCTCAGCCAGTGTATCCAATTGGTGCATTGCCATTGGAACTGAGTTGGTATTATGTTCATAGAATTATGCAGCTTTCTCAATCAATTTGTTCAATTTGCAGCCCTGTTCATTGATGGATCCAATCTATCTATCAGGCTTGATAACAAGTGAAGGCAATTGATTGATAGGCTGAGAATCAATGTGAAATGGCTTCTCAATCTCAGGTTCCTCAAAACTAGATCCTGATCCACAATCATCTTTGGAACCAATTCCAAATTCAATATTATTCAAAAAAATCAAGGTTGTTCAAATAATCATTTTCATTATCCATCATCTCATAATCATCACATTCTATCCAATCTTCATCATCAGTATTATGTTCTCCATCATCTTCCCTAATACACATGCTTTGCTGAAAGTTTTTAAGTTTGGTATTAGTAATGTGAACAGGAAAAGGAGTAGAAGTGTTTGCAATTTGACATTGACATCAACACTGAGCTGATTTGTGTATTTGAGCTTGAGATGATTTAAATAACAGAGACAAACCAATACCAAAGACCCAAAAAGTTCAAACCCAATCTGATCAAAGATACCTGAAACTTGCCCCTGAGGGTACATTTTTGGCAACTTATCAAGTATTTACTCAATTCCAAATTAACAACTTGGCTTCACACACTATACACATAAGACCCATGAAATCTCCTCTGAGACTAAAGGTTTGTGTCAACCCAACTTTGGGATCTTGGCTTCCAAATTACACACCAGTGGTTGCCTTGAGGGGCAGAGCACTTCAAAATATACGCACAGCAGAAGGATATGTCTGACCTCCATTGCTCTGCTGACTGTGGCGTAAATTACAAAGGTGCAGAACTTTATTGGGGCCCAATTCTGACATTCATCTTCTGAGCCCATGGATTAGGGTTGCTACAGGGTCAAAAGTATGTGCATTCAAAAGCTCTCCTCTAGGCACATCATTTGAGCACTGTAGGACCTAGGTGTTGTCAAGAGGTTGTGGACCATGTCTATGACCCAAAAACCTTGCAAACTCAACGTCGGAATTTACGTCACAAACTTCCAGAAGAGTTTGCCTGGGTGATACACATACTCTCCAAGGAGCATGAAGGACATACTCTACCTTTCCCGGCGCCGATGCTGACCTGGAAGCCACAGCGCATGAACTCAAGCACCATAATTTCCTACTAGACTAACCTGAAGAAAACAGTCCCGGTAGTTTCTTTAAATAACCACCAGGCTCCAATCAATTTGAGACACATCACATCAATAAACCAAAAAGTCATTTTTCCCAAAAAGACATATATGCTCAGTCTCAAATAAAAACTATGAAAAATAACTTTGAAATAAGATTGCAGCAAAAAGATAAAAAATAACCAAACCCATGGTATGAACTTGTAAAAACAAAAAACCATAACACAAAAAATATCTTGAATATTGTATTTTAAGGATTGATAAGGAAAAAAAGCAAGGTAAGTTGACAGAGACAAAAGAGAAAAAAGGACATTAACCGATTTCGAAAAAAATAAAGTAATGTATATAGTATATAATGTAATGGTAGAACGAATGAAATGGAGTCAAGATTCCAAAAAAAAACCAAAGAAAAAAACCAAAAAAAAATGAAAATGTGTCTTTATCTCTCTCTCTCTCTCTCTCAATGTATCAATTCTGCAAGATAAAAAGCCTGTTGATTAAATCTTGAACACATAGGGAAAAATCAATGTAAATAAAAAGTAAGATAAGTCGGCCATCAAACTGATAAGCTCAACTAGCCAACCAATGATAACCGATTGGAAAGTGGGAATTGCATAATTGTATGTAATGTCTGTTTATTTTCAATTTGATAAATGTCAAGCCTGAATAAAATTAAAATCTTGGACCTAATTTCAGGTCTCCACATCCCATGATTATTTCAATACTAGATTCAGATTAAATAATCAAGATGAATAATGTGCTCAAGCAAGCTAAGAGACCCATCTGTTGTAGGATCATTCCAGTCTGTCGAGTGAATGATACAGCAGCAGATTTCTTCTTGGCAGCCGAACCGGCCGTACTGCTTGCCGCAGCCGTGTTACCTGTGCTGACAGCATTATAAGTCTGTGTATTCTTAACAATGGACGGGATGATTCCAGGTGCAGGTGAATTAGGTGCCACAGGCTGTTCTCCGATTTGACCGTTTCCTACATTGATCATCTGTCCGATCGAAGGAACACCACGAACAACCACAAACAAGAAGGCTGGACCAGGTGCAAGGATCGCAGGATTTGGTGGCAGTTGTGAAACATGGAGAATTACTGAACCATCACCCTGAAGTTCATAGGTGGAATTGAGCTGAATGTACCGCTGGCCCATGTTACTGTAAAAGGAATCGGTTAGCACACATATAAACAGTGCATAGAGTGACAAGATCATTACATAGCATGGGTTGAGAATCCTGGCCTGACAAGGACGACTTTGGTTTCTTCGATGGCGTTTTGGGCACTGATATCCGATTGACTCAATGTAATGTCAAAGTATTGACCACCGTACGAGATGGACGTGGGTACTCCCTTGGGCTGAGGTCTAGGAGAGTTATAGTAATCGGGGTAGAATCGCTCGACCCGATATTCGGTGTAGTACTGGACATTAACTCGATCAGCGTTAGCCGACAAGATCATTGCAATGATCAATGATTGGGAAGAGTATACTCACGGGATAACCAGGAGTTTCAGGTGGAACGTAATCAGCTAAGGGAAGGAAATAATCAGCAAGGTCGTCGAATTGGTCTCAGTCTTTGGGGAATACACACCGTTAGGATTGGATCCTGCCGACATTAGCGAACCATCGGGTAAGAGAACTGTATGAAACAACGCAGGAAGTGAGTGAGGATCCATGATAAGAATGTGAGAGATGTTGGAGGCTACATACGAGCTGCGCTGTGGTACATCCTAGCGATGGTGTTAGGTTTGAGATCCGCTGGTCTTGACCATTTTGATCCACTCTGGGCATAGGGATCATAATAAGCTGCTTCATATCTAAGGGATGGCCACGTGCATTAGCTAGTGTATTCAACTTCATGCGAGACTGTACACCCACAATGGAGCATCGCCAAAGCTTTGACCCAACGCCCAACTAGTATTCCCGTAACCCGCAGTACCCTTGGCGATCCCGTTCAACAAGAATAGTCGCCCGTCAGGTAAGAAGACGAAATTGCCCATCGATCGGCCTTCGGGCATGGGGTCATCATCGTGCCACGCTGTGTCGACATCGGGTGTGATCGTCACACATGATCCATCAGCCGGGTACGCGGCAATGTTCCCTGAAGAGTGATGGAGTGGTTTTAGTCAATCAGTCGACTGTTCCAAGATTGGCGAGGAAAAATACCAACAGTTTGTTACCCATTGATCGGGTTGCAAATTAGTACCCCCACAGAAAACAATCTAGCAAGAGAGATAAAATCCGTTTTGTGATGAGCAAAGCACATCTCGCATCCATGATTACCAAGTGGACAACATGAGGTCACATAAGACTCACAGTGGCGGTCCAGTTGTTGGCGGGTGTTAATGGCAACATTGCATTAGCAGCAGATCCAGGATAAGTTCGAACCGAATGTGGAGTATTCGGAAGACTGTGCGGATGATCAGGAAGTCAGAAGCAGTTTTCGAAATCTACAAAGGTAAAGGTTAACTTACTTGAATTCTACATTGGATTTGTAGCTGGGATAGGGATAATTCAAACGACAATTAGTCTTAAACGGCCAAGAAAATATTAGTACAAGATCCTAGAAAAATAAACCCACTTGAGGATTGCATTGCCCAGGTTGGCGTTGATGAAAAGACTGATTGACGAGGAAAAGACAACAACACCAAGGCTCAGTCCGCGTATGCAATGGAGAAAATATTCGATATCTTATCAAAGACGATCAAGGCTTACTTTCCAGAGGGCAAGAGCCAAGTCAACCTGCGGAAGAGGAAACATGAGGTCAGGCATGTTTCTGCATTACGAACTTGACAGAGGGATCTTACGGGTAAAGATTAGCAGGTAATGTGGTTGTCAATAAGTTGAGACCTGTTACGTTCCCTTTCGAAGGGAAGAATTCATAGGTGGGATTGTTCTGTCCCTTGTCATTGACGTATCCACCCCAATCATCACCACCAATGATGATGATTGATCCATCCTCAAGTGTTTCGAGAGTTGGGTACCTAGATGATCATGTGGATTAGCGGTCAAAGCCAATCCATCCACCCCTACTCGAGAGTGAAATCGAGGGTAGATGAAAGAAGTGACTCACCAACGACGAGTAGTCATGGCTTGAGTCTCGGTCCAGGCACATGAGTCGTCGTTGCACGGATTTAACAACCTGATCGACCGACCACCATCGGCATTTCGGTATGGATTGGCTAGAAGTTGATCAACAGAATCAGAAATGCCACAAATTATCATAATTGAAGAAGAGAGGTATTAGCATACCATTGGCAACGAGGTTCGTACCGCCGTAAGTAATCGGCTGGCTGTTCACAAGTCATTGCATATTAGACATCTCCTTGTAGAAGACTGTTCGATTCCGCGCGCATAAAGACTTACTTTCCACCGACATTCAGCCTGAAAGAGGTAATAATCAATGACCACTCAGGCTAGGGAACTGAATAAAAGTGTGAAGGGATGTACTACTGACCATGTACCATTCCCCAGGACATTGCCACCAGCACAGAACTAGCCAAAGTGCCCAAGTCGCCCATCAATTCAATAGTCAGTATTCCGCTCGAGCAAAGCGGTTGATCAGATGATCACGAAACAAGAAGCTCACCGTGTTGCTGTTAATTTTCATCGGAGTTGCTTGGTTGGTTTCGGTATCATATGAGGTACCCCAAACGGCTGCGTTTCAATTAGGGAGTATCCCAAGTCAATCACTGACTCCAAGACATTCATACAATGTAGCACAAAGGTTAAGCTCACGCAATCCGTCCATTTTCATCTCATTGTTTTCTACCTGAATTCGTGGTCAATCGGGAGGTCAGATAGTGATCACAAAAGAGCGACGAGTGGTGTGGATTATGAAGTGGGGTACGAGGAAGACAAACGTAAGATCAACATACCTTGTCAATCACATAAACTTTGGTCGGGGAACCTAGAAACATTTGCTGGGCTGATGCACCTGAATTTCCAACGATCTCAAATGTGTTGGGGGTCTGACCAGACCGAATGGCTTGAGCTTCAGCCTTTTCCGAAATTGAGATGAAGATGATTGATAGTAACAGCATGGTGCGAAGGCCATAGCGTGCTGGAATCGAAGAAGACGAGCGAGATCTCGACATGACGTGAACGGCTTTCACAGGTTTAAGAGAAGCAAGTGCTGGTTGAGCAGGTATTGAAAAAGCTGATGAACCCTGATGCCGATATTCTACCACAGAGTAGCTAGATGATGCCGGAACAGAGAGAAAGAATCGATGTCACTGATAAATTGATAAAATGTATTGTTGATAGATGAATGTTGAATTGTTTTGGCAAGTGTGCAAGCTCGAACAACAGAATCGAAACTGATTACGAGGAGTGTTGAACAGATGAAGTCCGAGAAAGGGAACGAAATGAAAAGTCTTCAAATCTGATTTCGATCAATAGACAATCAGAGATTCGTGAGTTGAAATAAACCGATAGCCGAAGATTGGTTCGATGAGTCAGAAATCGAAAGTGTCGTTGAATGATCATAAAGCGTCAATCATGGAGTTCAACGGGGTCAGTTGAAGGTCAACAAGTTTTCAACCAAGTTGCTGTGAAGAAGAAATGTAGATATCTTAAAATCGAACTAACTCACAATATACGATCTTTTTCAAAGTTTGAAGATAATCAATTCTCAAACTGAATGATTTAGGATGATAACTTGAAGAGAACTGATAGGCTTCAGGAAAATCACCAATCTGCTTGTTTGACTTGCGAGTTATTTTTATGTTGTTTTGATATGCTTGAAGCTAATCAGCTGCATCAACCTCGATCACCTCCGTTCGATTTGAGATCGATGGATGGTACAGAACGAGTGTGAGTTGATATAGATAACTTGAGTGATTTACTATGATGGATGGATGTGTGTTAAAGAAAAAGGAAAGTCGAATTAGTCTAAACCTGTAGTCTAAAGTTAAGCAGACAAATATAAGTTGATAGGAAAATGGAGTTCCCAAGAAGAAACCGAATGAGGTGTTTTTTTAGGTAATACAGTCAAAGATTTCAAATCATGACAAATACAACATCAATACAAGATTTCAATCGAAGGAACGAAGGAATGAATATGTCGTAGAAAACAAATGACTCAAATGATTTTCAATACTCACTTTGGCTTTGGTGCACTTCAACTTTTTAATCAATCTGCAATACGACACAGTGGTCGAGTATCTGTTCCGGGGCGCTAAAAGGCGAGGGTTGAATTATATGTAGTATTATGATAAAATGAATGAAAGGTAAAGTCTGAAATGATCGAAGTTTGGTTGGCAAGGGTTGGAGTAGTAACAATACGAATGGAAACCTTGAGGAAGCAACGAAGAGAGAGAAGAGATCAATCGAAGAACGCAGTGAAAGGCGACGAGAGTTTCTTTTTGATTTGATTTGATTTGATTTGATTTAAATTATGTTTTGTAAAACAGAAATCACCTTTGCTTGAAACACGTCAAAGGGAAAGAAGAAGACAACAAGATGATCGAATGTGTATGTAAGAGGAAGAAATCTGTTGGGGGTCTTTAAAACAAATCAAATTGTCTACTACAAAACTCTCACTTCATCGATTCATTCATTCATTCAAAAATCCATATCCTTCATTCAAACCTTAACCCCTTGAGTTTGTAAATAATCAGAAGGTCGTGATACAAATCACTTGATGGTCGTTGATCAGGAATCAAAAGTCTTCCATAGATTCAACCGGATTTCACTTGATTCATGTCTCATTGAAGGATTGATCATCAAACAAACACATCAGAAGGACCTTGTTACTAATCTCAATGAGAAAAGTTCAGAGGTTATTGATGATTGAAATGGGTTCATGAGCCAAACCAACCTGAGTTCTCTTCCTTTGTAAAAAAAATCATGTTTGACTTCTTCAGGCTGTGCTAGATGCCTCACATTGGGAGTGCGGGCCAAGAGCCAGTGTGACAAATGACACAGCACAATAAAACATTTATCTCTTCAAGGTAAAGAGCAAGAAACATGACTCATCATTTCTTCTACCCGGTCCACATGCATCTTCAGCAAGATAGGCCCTTCGATCAGTTGATTAAACACTCTTTTGGTAAAACCCTTTCATGATCCCCAAGCTCACTTTCAACCATCTCGAACTTAGCCCCTGAAGCTGTCCCCGTTTGTTTGGAAAATGAGCTTGACCAGAACAAAGCAAGCCAGAAATGCATATAGTCTACATATGTGGTGGCAATATACCCCAAAGACCACATATTACTGGGCATTGATCATAGTCCAACTCAGCACAAAGTGCATTCTGAAGCCAGTTGATGATACAAGTAAGAGGGACGCAGTAGGACAAAATTGAATGGAGAAAACTCAATGATGCAAAATCAACCATACCCAAAAACCCTGGAGAAGACAGAGTTTATGCATGTAGGGAGGTGTACCTAAACATTTTTACCTGAGCAATTCTGCTAGCATTGATTTTCTTTATGCTATCGTCCAACCAAGCACAAAAATGACTGTGCATAGACATGAAGTTGACTCCACTTTTCCAAGTTTTTGGTACTTAAAGATATTAACCTGATTGAAAACTTGCAATAGTTGCAATCCATTTCTAAGAGCTGAACAAATTTTGAGCATTCACCTTAAACACAGGTATAACATGAGTGACAACAAACTTCAATGATGTGAAGATTGAATCATGCTATTACAATAACTTTCATAACTTTCTAGGGTACATGAGACATAGAAACTGATATGGTGAGAAAATCAGCACAAGGCATAAACATGTCAAAGAAACTCAAAAAATGTTCAATTGGATGTTGGGTTCTCATTCAGGCATCTTGCTGGAGAAAATTTCAAAACTTGCCTCTCATTATCAGAACAAATAAAGATACAATCATGTGACTCCTACCACAGTGAAAATTATAGTGCCATCTGTTACGTGCAGTATCATTGCATTACTTTATGCAAGTGGTCTGATTGAGGATCTTCATATCATGGATCCACAAAAAAGATTGTTGTTGTGTGTAGACAAGTTTATTCCATATTCTGATCTCAGACATAAAAATTCGATGGCAGTTTTGTTTGGCATAGGTAAAGCAACGAAGATCTCAAAATATCAACTTGTAGGTCAAGATACATGAAGAAACATTATAAGAATAACCTAGGGATCAATATTTGTACAATAGTGAACAAATCTCTATCAATGCACGAGTGTGGAAACAGATCAGATTGGCAGCATTCTGGTAAAAATGACTCGCAAATCAGCATATAGACCAAATCGAATGATGTCTCCCAATTTCCATATTTTTGAGCTGTGATAAGGACCTTCCTAATCATAATAGTGAGATAGCCACACAACAGATTGCAGAGCTGAATACCGAAATCTATTAACCTGTAGCAAGTTGGCACACATACGTCTCCGATTTTTAAGAATGTAAAAATACTATTACTACTTTTGAATTGTATTTCATAGGCTCCACTCCCCGCCCTTTGATTTTGATGTCTTTGCATTTGCATTCAGGTATATTCAGGTATAGGATACAGTAAAAGAGGACTCTGGCTAGATTGCACATGGCCAACACATATCTCATAGGAGCTGAGCATGGTCAATGAAGCTTGTCAAAGACAAGGATTCTCACTTCACGCATCACCTTCTACTTTTATTACTTGCAAGTTGGTCCATTTTTTCTTGATGGATTCGAAAAGCTTGTAAATTTGGTAATATGCATCAACTCTTCATCATCTTACTGGTATGGGTATGTTCCTGTTGTGTTATTTCATATGAACATTGGTATTATTCAACAATATTATATTCAATTCCGTCCAAAAGTCTGTCTAAGTGATTGATCTTGTGACTCTCTGATTGTGATGTTTGTGCAAAGATGGTTGGTCAACAGCCATGGTCTTCAGCTTGTTTTTAATAATCTATTTCTCATCGGGTATGATGGCTGTAGCTTGCGCGTGAAATTTATTTTCTTCTAGAATAGGTGTGGGTCCCCTTGGGATTTGCGGAATTTGTGGTACGACTTATTAGCGAGTTTACTGCAAGCTAGGTTTTTCAACTTCCGGTGACACATTTTCGGCCTTCATAAATACATGTTTCTCACCGATTATCCCTTATGTAAAACTCGAACTTGGATTTTCTTCAAAATCGAGGTCATCAGGGTACTCACTTCTGACCTCAGGTATTTTTGGCATGCGGAGTTTGTAGTTAGATAGAATGGATCAGGCAAAGTGAAACCAAAGGCTCCTCAGGCAAGGCATATGAATCGATGTCCACTTCAACAAGGTGCGGGATGGTTCGGAGTACCGCAGCGCCGTGTTTTGAATGAAGCCGGGGCCACACCTGAGGCTCTCGCGCTGTAACGTGTAAACTTTGAAAATGTGAACGCGTTTTTACGAATCCTTTCTCGCAGGGTGTTCGTTGTCTCGTTCGTCCAATGCCAAAGCCGACATCTTATCGGCGGCAGCTTACGAACAAGCTGTTCGGTAAAGGGCTTGGATCGGCTCAGGCGTGGACTGAATTTCAATTGTTTATTGTTTGTTGATCCTGGGCCGTCTCAAAATTTCGCGAGTTAACGACTCGTTTTCCCCCGGCAGCCCAAACTGGAAGTTTAGTTGACATCTAATGCCGTTTTAGCCATTTGTTCCGAAGCTGCAAGAGCTCTTGAGAGGCTGACGATGATTGTTTGAAAGGCTCTGAAGGAGAAACCTGGAGGACTAGAAAAACTCATGCCCAACCGGTTCAATCGAGGCATATTGCTTGAATTATTAAAGCTTACCATACCACGCTTGCTAGAAAATGCAGTCATGTACACAATTTTCGTGCAGGCTGACGAGGGAGTGAGCGGTGCGACAAGGTTTAAGACCCTACAGTTCATTAAAGTTGATGATGGCGCATTGAGAAGGCTCACCACGACAAATCTCTCGCGAGCGTGAACTTCTTTATCAACAAAGCCGATCCCTGCCTCGAAATCCCGTCATCCCACATCTTCATCTCTTTCAAAAACACATCCAGCACTATCCGCCTGCCAAGCTTGTCTTGTCGATTTCAAGACCTGATACCCGTTGGCTCGCTTGATATCTTCATCGGTGATCAAAACTTGGGACAACCTCCGAGGTTTTCTTGTTTCCTGGTCACTTTACATTGCTAAAGTCAACCGACATTGAATTCAAGGTGAGTGTCACTCGAAAGGGATCGTGCGTTGATACAACATTTCTCTATCTCCTCGTCATTATTCCAAAAGCTATCCCGAGATGGTTTTATTCTCATTTCTAGATTGCAGCAATTGTGTGCATTCCTTTCATCAAGCACCCATGACTATCAACCGGATAGGGATTTCAGATTCGATTCAGACAGGAAGCAATTTTCGGATCATGACGTTCCCAGAGGTTCACGTCAGTGCTACATAACTCAGCGGACTCTAGCGATGAAGACGTACAGCATTTCCTTCGAATTCATTTTAACAATGGACTTTCCTTTCTTCTTTCCTTATCCGATCGTCGACATGCGTAAATAGGCATAAACCCCTTGATTCAGTCCCTGCAATCTCGATCCGGATTTTTGCCCCACTTTTCCAGATTCATCCTTTGATTCTCGCGCATCTTGCTTGGATTTGTTTGGGTGTAGAAAACCTTACCGGGCTGCACACGATTACTTAACTATCAGTCGTCAAGGGCTTTCATTCATTTCCATCTCAAGATGAGGAATGGGGACGATGATGTCGATATCATCCCACAGCTTGCCGGGTCTCATGAAACATTTCGAAGTATTTCTCCGACTATAGCTTACCCAAAAGACTGGTGGATCACGGAACCCATGGATTGGATGATGAGTCGGGATATATAAAAACTTGAATGTCCATCTACTCTACAATTCGATGCTTGCTTGATTCATTCTCTCTCTCACAGATATTGAATTCCGAGACTTTGCTTTGACCTTTACCCACCAACCACGACGGAGTACGGACGATATACTTACCATAATAGGCAACAAATCCCCAGACTAAAGAAATTACTGTTCAAAAGGCTGCATTTAGCTAATTCAACACTGTCATTCACTGATCATTTTCCCATACCCGTCTGCCAGAACCGTGCCAGGGAATCCCACAGAGATAGATACATATAGCCATAGTCTCATACAAGTCGCAACTGAGCCCCGCAGATTGGTTGACATTTGAATATAACTGTGGCCCCTTTCTCTCTCGTATCTTATCTGTCTCTCTTTACAATACGTAGGTTGAACAGCACTGCCTCTTTCCTTATTTTTCATTCGATTCTCCAACCTTTCTTCAGATATTCCATTACCACCCTATACCACCGCGTGGTGTTTTCAAACCTTCTGATATCAATTGGTCACACACACTTCATCGTTACAATAATTACCACTTATACATAAATCATCCGTTATATATATCATAACCATTTTCTTTGGCCTAGGCTAGGCTTGAATTCTCCACTAAGGTCGTCGTAGCCTGTAGGTTCATCTGCTTTGACTTGCTTCTTTCTGAATTCGCCTTTCTTCTCAAACCTATCCATTTTTCACCACCACGTCAGGCTCTTAAGTTCTTCAAATATCATCATTTATCTCTTTTCTTTGGCCCGGTTTCTTTTCTGCCACCAGTAACTGGTGATCGATTTGTTTGTTGCTATACATTGTGGGCTTCATCTGCCAGCAACCCAAGACCGACGCGA